TTGTGCAATTGTTGGACAAAATGACTTGCTGTGGCATTAATTGCACTAATAGAGCGTCCAAGGACTCTCCACTTCATTTTTTTCTGTAAGTAAAATTATGTTTATGTATTTTAGGTCACTGCCGAGCTGAGCTTAGATTTTAACATGTACTGTTTAACCATGAAATTTAAATGTAATAGGGTAAAACCCAGTGCATTTAACGTAATGCTGCACTTTAGAAAATGGGTTGAAATATAGCATGTTGGTGGTTCTGGGTTCCGACTATCGGCTTGTGGAGCTCTCGGGAGACCGATGTTTTCCACCCGGTTCTCCCCTCCCCACAGCTCGGCGCATCTCTGTCTGATCGCGGCTCCTGTCTGCTGCGCGGGCTGCCGGCTTGTGGAGGTCTCGAATGGAAACCGATGTTTTCCACCCGGTTCTCCCCTCCCCGCAGCTCGGTGCATCTCTGTCTGATCGCGGCTCCTGTCTGATCGCGGCTCCTGTCTGATGTGTGGGCTGCTGGCTTGAGGAGCTCTCAGATGGAAACCAAAGTTTTCCACCCGGTTGTCCCCTCCCCACAGCTCGGCGCATCTCTGATCGCCGCGGCTCCTGCCTGCTGTGCGGGCTGCCGGCTTGTGGAGCTCTGGGATGGAAACGTTTCCACCCGGTTCTCCCCAGCGGCAGCTCTGCGCATCTCAGATCGCAGGGGTGCTTGTCTGCTGTGCGGCTGCCGGCTTGTGGAGCTCTCGGGAGACCCCTGTGTTCCACCCGGTTTTACCCAGCGGTCAGCCTGGCGTATCTCTGACTCAGAAGCTCTGGTGTTGTGCACAGTTAACTCCGGTTGTAGCTAGGTTGCTACCTCCATTAGCTTAGCTCCCACCTCTGCGTTAGCTTTGGGTTAGCTTGTAGCTAGTTCAACCGGGTGTCGTCAGTTGATCCCAGCCTTACAGCCACACCCTCAGCTCCTCCTCTCTTCCCTTTTGTGGAATTGTCTGGGCTTAACGGAACCTGTGACACGGTCAAAATGGCGGTGGTGGCCACCTCCCATTTCTCCTCCAAAAAGTGTTATTGAAGCCTATGGAAACCCATTGTCCATATATGTATATGTCGACGAGCCAAAGTCATGCCCATCTACTTCTGGTCCACAGGTCCCCTACCACCAAAATATGAATGGGAGTCTACGAGCTGCTAGGTTTTCTGATCCCGTTTGATGTCGTGGATTTCCCACGTGATATTTGTGAATTTTAAAGACCCGGTCTGATGCCACGACAGTAAGCATTTTCAACAAGCGGCAACAGTTACTTTAGGTTTTGTGTGAAAACGCACAGAGGACTCTCACCAAACCAGACGAAAAGAAAAATGGCTGTAGGTTAAGCAAGCTTCATGTCCCTTTTCCAAGACCACAGAAGGAGCATTAAACGTGGAGAAAACTCCTGTAAACTCGGTCATGTGGCCAGTAGCAGCTACGCTGGGGAGAGTAGAGATTCTGCTGTGAAGTCAGACTTGTAGTTGTTTTTACAAGCTCATCTTAAATTACGTGACTGGTTGAAATTTGCATCATTACTTTTAATTTAAGCTGAAACATAACTTGTGACATAAGGCAAGGCGGATTAGAAAATGGGACCCATGGTCAGACCATCACACACCTGCCAGAATATTTACGCAGAAGTCTTTGGGTTCATAAAGGTGGAGAAGGTTCTGTGTGCTTCCTCTGAATTGTCCCATTGAGGTTTAGCTAAATGGAGACCTTGAATTCTGGCTGATATGTCTTGAACATGTCACAAGGACAACCTATGGGATAGAATTACCATTAACGCATTGCTGCTAACTTGAATTACAGGTGCTGGCCAGTAAATTAGAATATCATCAAAAGGTTGAAAATATTTCAGTAATTCCATTCAAAACGTGAAACTTGTACATTATATTCATGCAATGCACACAGACCAATGTATTTCCAATGTTCATTACATTTAAATTTGATATTCATAAGTGACAACTAATGAAAACTCCAAATTTGGTTTCTCAAAAAATTAGAATATTCTGAAAAGGCTGAATATAGAAGACACCTGCTGCCACTCTAATCAGCTGATTTACTCAAAACACCTGCAAAGGCCTTTAAAAGGTCCCTCAGTCTTGTTTTGAAGGCACCACAATCATGGGGAAGACTTCTGACTTAACAGCTGTCCAAAAGACAATCATTGACACCTTGCACAAGGAGGGCAAGACACAAAAGGTGATTGCTAAAGAAGCTGGCTGTTCGCAGAGCTCTGTGTCCAAGCACATTAACAGACAGGCGAAGGGACGGAAAAAATGTGGTAGAAAAAAGTGTACAAGCTCTAGGGATAACCGCACCCTGCAGAGAATTGTGACGACAAACCCATTCAAAAATGTGGGGGAGATCCACAAAGAGTGGACTGCAGCTGGAGTCAGCGCTTCAAGAACCACCACGAGGAGACTCATGAAAGACATGGGATTCAGGTGTCGCATTCCGTGTGTCAAGCCACTCTTGAACAAGAAACAGCGCAAGAAGCGTCTCGCCTGGGCCAAGGACAAAAAGGACTGGACTGATGCTGAGTGGTCCAAAGTTATGTTTTCTGATGAAAGCAAGTTCTGCATTTCCTTTGGAAATCAAGGACCCAGAGTCTGGAGGAAGAGCGGAGAAGCACAGAATCCACGTTGCATGAGGTCCAGTGTAAAGTTTCCACCGTCAGTGATGGTGTGGGGTGCCATGTCATCTGCCGGTGTTGGCCCACTCTGTTTCCTGAGGTCCAGGGTCAATGCAGCCGTCTACCAGGAAGTTTTAGAGCACTTCATGCTTCCTGCTGCTGACCAACTTTATGGGGATGCAGACTTCACCTTTCAACAGGACTTGGCACCTGCACACAGTGCCAAAACCACCAGCACCTGGTTCAAGGACCATGGTATCCCTGTCCTTGATTGGCCAGCAAACTCGCCTGACCTTAACCCCATAGAAAATCTATGGGGTATTGTGAAGCGGAGGATGCAATACGCTAGACCCAACAATGCAGAGGAGCTGAAGACGACTATCAGAGCAACCTGGGCTCTCATAACACCTGAGCAGTGCCACAGACTGATAGAGTCCATGCCACGCCGCATTACTGCAGTTATTGAGGCAAAAGGAGCCCCGACTAAGTATTGAGTGCTATACATGCACATTCTTTTCATGTTCATTCTTTTCAGTTGGCCAACATTAGAGAAACAAACATTTTTTCATTGGCCTTTAGAATATTCTAATTTTCTGAGATACCAGATTTGATGTTTTCATTGGTTGTCACCTATAAATATCAAATTTAAATGTAATGAACATTGGAAATACATTGGTCTGTGTGCATTGCATGAATATAATGTACAAGTTTCACGTTTTGAATGGAATTACTGAAATATTTTCAACCTTTTGATGATATTCTAATTTACTGGCCAGCACCTGTATTCATCCAGTTAATGAGCCAAATGTCTCAAAGGCAGCTGGACTCGCTTCATGCTGCTGTTGACTTTACCAGCAGGTCCGAAACGTGAGGCTAAAATCCTTCAGTTACGTGTTGATAACAGTACATATGTTACAGAACAGGAGCGGTTTCACAAGAAGGCAGAATCGGGAAGACACGTCTGTTTATCAAACTAAGATTCGTTTAAGGTTATTCTGAGAAATGTTTCTGTTTACGGAGCTTCTAGGAATAATTTAGCTGCAAATGTTTCAACAGACTCGTTTTTGACTGAATAAGAACAGAAAAGTATTTAAAAACCCTCTAAATTAGGGATGCTCGATATTGGAGGGGTTCATGTGCCAGTATTGTCTGACTCTTACCGACACCAGTATAAACCAGTAATATATGCTGTGTCCCACTAACATCACATTTTCCCTACCATGCATTACATTCAAATGTTTTCTGTGTAAAATAACTACTTTAATTTAAGTTGGTAACAGGAAAAGTTCCACGTTTGTTTAGTCAGCAACAGCAGCTGAATCTCATTCTAAGCCTGATGCTAAGATGTGTTTATTAGTTAGTAATGCATTTGTTCTTTTTCTGCATGTTGCCGCTATGATGATAAACCTTTTATAAAGAGCAAGTCACCAGATTCTTATTCTACTCCCACTTCCTGTTTGAAAAATGCAACAAATGCTGTTGCCTAGCAGACCGAGAGTGCGGAGCCGCTAACACACACACACAGGCTCACAACATTGTGACATCATAATGTACCATCTAACATCATAGTGTACCTCTTAGCTAGTAGCGATGGCAGATTTAAATTCAAATGCAGTGCAGAGTTTTTACCTGACAACGACACAACACTGACAGTTTTAGGCAGAAAATTAGTTTTAACTAAAATCCACTAAAGTGCAAAACTATTGACTACACGTGTCTGCAGCACGATTAGACACATATTTATAGTTTATCAGGAAAAAAAAACTGATTTGGGTGACTTGCTCTTTAAAAACAAGCCTTTTTGTTTTAGTTGTTTACTGGCTAGCAACACGTAGCTATGTGCCGTTAGCTGCCAGCAAAACATGTGCTGTTAGCTGCTAGCAACACGCAGCTACGTGCCGTGAGGACAGAGTACGTTCACTACAGAGGGCAAATTTCTTCTTCACAAGTTGTTCCAAATAAACAAAAATATCTCAAAATGAACCTCAGATTTGTTATGTTGACATTTTGAGAGACAGAAGTAACTGCAGAGTTGATTTATAATATGTGTATGGGATGTAAGAGTTGGCTCATTAAAAGACTGATAGATATGTTCAGATATTCCACTTTTATGCCGTTGTTAATGGCCGACTGATAACATTGGACATTTCTACTGAAAAAGCTTTTAAACCTTCTTTCTGAAACTACAGGTTAAACATTTTCTGTGATGCTGCTGAAACACCCGTAGATCAAATCTGCGTAATCACGTTTCACATCACAACCAAAGTTTCAGCATCAACAAACATAAGAATTCTTTTTTTATGTTTTGACTTCTTCGTTTAAGCAGAATTTATACAGAAATCAAATCAAAAGCAGTTTTTGGGGAAAAGTAGCTTTAATGTAGTTTTAGAAAACAGTAACAAAGCTGAGACAAAAATAATAAGAAATGAAAAATAACGAGTTTTTCTGATCGTTTGAATCCAGAACCACGTTGAACCAATGCTACCAGGAACTGAAGTCCCCGAAACTCGTCTTTCCTTTGGACTTCTTGGGTGGAGCGCCGCTGGTGGACGGCCCGCTTTCATCTTCTGCTGCTGGACGTTTTCTGCAGGAGAACATTCATAATATCATCTGCTGCAGATAAATGAGGAAAGTATTAATTCATTTTAAATGGAAGTCATGTATAGCGTATGTCAGAAATAATTATTGATCTGAGTAAAGTACGGTCAATGTTAAAAGCCACGTTCATGTTACTGAATTAAGGTATTTAAACCGGGATTTTCAAAGAGAGCCTGGATTGTGGGATCTGGGATCTACGTGGTACACCCCCAGGACGGGACACTGATGCTGGCTGACCTTCATAATCAGCTGTCTTTTTCTACCAATGTGAGACGTTTTCCCATTCAGTTAAAGTAACTTTCCAGAGTTTTCTACTTTCAGGAATCATGTATGGTTATTCAGAAATCCGTAAAAGTGATCGTCTCAGCATGTACTGCGATATAATGTCAGTAATATGTCTTTATTTTATAGAGACATATTGCAGAGCTCCGTGCAATAAGAAACCAGAACTAACCAATAGTGTTAGACTACCGCTTACTTGCTTCAAATTTAAGGAATACCTCGGCTGATACAGAGTTGATGAACTTTTCACGGACAAGAAAGTCTTTAAAATATAAAAATATGAAAACACAAAATGACATGAGCACAATACTCGTTAAACGATGTGTTTTAGCCGTTTGTCGCTACAGAAGCACATTTATAAACAGAAACGAGAAGTCGCCATCTTAAAAAAACAGAGCAACAGACTTTTTGTGTGACATGTTTGTCAACCACTAGATGGTGCCATGGGATAAAAGAAATACTCCAGAAAGAGACTTTAACCCCAAAAATCCACTACCTCCGCTCCGGCACGAACTCCGCAGCAAAATCGGTCCCGTTGTAGTCAATCAGAGCTGTTCCACTACAGCGGCCGTTCCGCCATCCGGCAAAAATAGGATTGATTCTGTTTTTGCCAGACGCCGGAACACCTCCGCAGTCAATGGACAGAAACCACAACCGCCCAACAGGAAAGGGAGCAAGCACAACTTCCGTTATTTCACAATAAATCGATAAACAAAAAGCATTTTTTGTTTCATATGCACAGGTTTAACAACTTTTAACAACTATCAATGGCGGCTGAACTTTAAATGCACAAAAGTAAGCCATAAATACAGTTTCCACTATCAAAGTAGTCACACTTTGTTGATCCAAACACTGCTGATCTCTCAACACAAATGATGGGCAGATTCAACAGTTCATTTCAATGCTTCTCCCACACAACAGGTGTTTGGATCCAACTTCCGTGTTTATTACTCGGACTGTATCGCAAGATCTCGAAAATCCTGCGCATGCCTGTTTGCGCACCTCAGGTCTCCGCACCGGAGCGGAGCCGTTGCAGAGCGGGTACCAGTAAAAATTGAGTTCGGATGCGAGCGGCTGCGGAGGGCGGGGGCGGACCGGAGCGGAGGTAGTGGAATCTTGGGGTAATTCTGCTTCATTCTGTCTTTTGTATTATTTTAATTCATAATGTCTTCAATCAGATTTCTAAGAACCAAGTAGAGAAACAGTTTGATGTTTTGGAGCCTCATGGAGTTGTCTCGTTAAAACGAGAACAGTAGTTATGTGTACTTGTCTTTACAGGTTTAAGTGGACAGATTTTGACTTTAACCTGTAACGTGTGAACATGTGCATAACGTGGGGACATTTTACTGGTCCACACAATGCTAAGCACCCTAAAAGTTAGTTTTAGCGGTATGGTGTGAATTTCCTTTTTTAGTTTAGGTTGAGTTAGTCATTATGAAGTCAGTGGAGGTCCACACAAGCATATAAATACAAGTGTGTGTGTGTGTGTGTGTGTGTGTGTGTGTGTGTGTGTGTGTGTGTGTGTGTGTGTGTGTGTGTGTGTGTGTGTGTGTGTGTGTGTGTGTGTGTGTGTGTGTGTGTGTGTGTGTGTGTGTGTGTGTGTGTGTGTGTGTGTGTGTGTGTGTGTGTGTGTGTGTGTGTGTGTGTGTGTGTGTGTGTGTGTGTGTGTGTGTGTGTGTGTGTGTGTGTGTGTGTGTGTGTGTGTGTGTGTGTGTGTGTGTGTGTGTGTGTGTGTGTGTGTGTGTGTGTGTGTGTGTGTGTATTCTTACACAGTGGAGGGGTTGATGTACTTCCCCACTCCTGCCCTGAAGGTTTTGGGGGCCTGCTCCTCCTTGGCCTTCTTCAGGGCGACGCTGACCAGCTGCTTCTCCTCCTCTTGTTTCTGCAGCTCCTTTTCTCGCTCTGCAGCGATCTGAAAAATTGTCGCACCAAAAGTAAATTAGATTTTATTTTAAAATTAACATTAAAATTCTCTTCTATTGTTTTTTTTACTCCTGGAGGCAACAGAACTTTTTTTTGAGCCACTATTAGAAAATGAAAACACTTAAAGGCGTCGTTCACTGAAAAACCATGTTGAATGATTATCACTGATTCTAATGGATCTCTGAGTTTTTCATGCAGACTGAACATGAAAATAGTCTCCTACGCCTACCTCGCCTTCTGTGAGAGGAGACAATTTTTGTCACAGGAGTTAAGGGCTCGCACCATAATCGGAAGGCTGCAGGTTCGAGCCCCGCTCAGTCTGTCGCTGTGTCCTTGGGCAAGGCACTTACCCCACCTTGTCTGCTGATGGTGGTTGGAGGGACCGGTGATGCCTGTATACGGCAGACTCACCCTTGTCAGTGAGCCCCAGGGCAGCTGTGGCTACAATGTAGCTCATCACCACCAGGGTGTGAATGGGTGAATGACTGTGTTGTAAAGCAGTTTGGGGGGTTCAAGGACTCTAGAAGACACTATGTCAAATACAGGCCATTTACCCTCTCCTGCATTAGCTTCTGATGGAACACAGACGGGGAAACTAAGATTAGAAAATCCTGACAGATTTACGTCGAGCTGTCACCATTTCATACTGGAAGCATCAGCGGAGCGGAACGGCGCTGCTTTAGACAGAATCAGCTATAGTCTATGGGGGTGTTTCAAACCGGCCGCGAGCAGGCGGTAATTTTCAGGTGCGTCCCTGAAGCGCCACTACATTTAGGATTGGGTTCTATTTTTGCCGCGTTCTGCTCATGGGACACGTCAATGACGAGTGAACATAGGGCTGGACAGGAAACCTCACATGGTTTCAGAGTAAAACGCCTGGTAATTTTCAAAATAAGACCATTACAGCGATGCAATTTCATATCTATGTAGAGTACGTCAATACGTGTGACCTATTTACTCGCTGCTTCTTTTTGGTTTAATGGCGGATGGCATAAACAAACCGTGACCTTTGAAGTCTCGGGGATCTTGTGATAGAATAGACTAAACTTTGATCCCACAGTGGGGACATTCACTCGTTACAGCAGCACACACGCTTAAGACAAAAGGAAGGAAAATAACAAAATTACAGGTGAAGGCAGGAAGCTCTTATTGTAACCTGCAACCACTAAAACCAACAAATAAAAAGTAAACTTGTGTTTCCTGAAATATGCAGCGTAAGGGACACAGACACACTAATGCACATTGAGCTCGCGAGTCTTAACGAGGAGCAACAGGGAGGAAGCCGTTCTGCGACTAAGACTCGCCCGCCTGTGTGAAATAGGGGTCACTTAACATTCATGGACTCACAACGGGGAAGGCTGTTGTTGGTTTAGCGTCCAGGAAACAGCAGAGAACGTCTCAGCTAGTAGAAGCTAACGTTAGCATTAGCAACTCCAACACACAGCAGAACTCCTCCAGGCTTGTGTTATTTGTGGAGACGAAACATCAACGTTGCAGAGCAAACAGAGTCAGTGGTAGAGTCGTGTTGCTGTTAGCCAATCAGAGGAGAGATGTCCACATGTCAGGAAGTAAGAATCTAAATCCTTACGTACAGAGCATTCATTCCTACTAGAGACCACTGCAAATGTACTGATGAAACGAGTGAACCGCACCTCAAGAAAAAATATTCAAGTACGCAGGTATTTAAATGACGTGGGAACTTTCCATACAGGAACCAATAACACGGATGAAAGTAAAAATAAAAAATCCAACCTGAGCATCGGCCTCTTCGTATGGGTCCACGAACACCGTCGCACTTATGATCTTAATCTCTGACTGTAGAGGAAAAACAGAAGCTGTCAAATGATTCAACAAAAACATCCAAATTCTTGTTTAACAGATTTTCCAACAGAGACGAGCACAATGACAGTGTTGCTTTCTAAAACCTAAATGCAATCTCCAACAGTTTCCTGCTCTGCTGCTGCTTCGTTTCACGTTTTCTACCCGACCATTTATTTCATCCGTGTTTGGGTCAAAAACTGTCATGGCGGCACGCCGTAGTCTTGTTCTCCTTTAGTGTCAGAGACGTAGAAACGTAAAAACACTGCTGTGAAGGGAATGTCAGGCTTTCTGCGGTTGGGCGGTGAGCCGCAGGGTCAAGTTTTTTGCCACCAGTGGAAGGATTTCCTCCTAAACCTGAGAGCTTCCCACACGTGTAAACCAAAACGCTGAGTCAGATCCTGATGAACACCTTCTCTTACCTTTGGTTTATCTGATTTAGGATCACACTCTACTTTCTCCATGGCTGTGAGGGTCTCAAATCCACCAACAACCCTAGAAAACAGAATAGAAATAGAACATTGCTCGTTGTTAATATTATTAATGCATCACTTAACATGGGAGTGGTTCCACTAAAATTTAAAACTGCGATAATTTTACCTACTCTCAAAAAACCAAATCTGTCTATAACCGATTTTAATAATTAACGACCTATTTCAAATCTGCCATTTCTCTCTAAAGTGTTGGAGAAAGTGGTGGCTACTCAACTTCAAGACCACCTCAGTGGAAATCAACCACAGCACAGAAACTGCTCTAATTAAAATCACTCATGACCTTTTGATGGCATCTGATTCTGGTCTAGTTTGCATACTACTGCTCTTAGACTTGACGTCAGCGTTTGACACAATATCGCATCAAATTCTTCTAAAGCGCCTATCCACCATTGGGGTATGTGGGACAGCACTCTCATGGTTCAAATCGTACCTTTCTGACCGCTCGCATTTTGTTCAGGTTGTCATATAAATCTCATCTCATGCCTGTATCACGTGGGGTTCCACAAGGTTCAGTTCTGGGTCCAATTTTATTTATCATCTATATTCTTCCACTAGGAAACATCTTTAGGAAGTACAATGTGAACTTCCACTGTTATGCAGATGATACGCAATTATACATCTCTTCTTCATCTGTTCAGTCATTACCTATTATGGCTATAACAAACTGCTTAGGTGAAATACAGACTTGGTTTGCTCATAATCTCTTGAAACTGAATGGTAATAAAACAGAACTTCTCACAGTCGGAACCAAATCACATGTTGCCAGATCTCTGAATTTCTCACTCAATATCGATAATACTCTCATTTTATTATCTGCCCATGTTAAAAGTTTGGGTGTCTCTCCTTGAATAGCCATGTAAATGGATTGGTTAAGTCTGCGTTTTTTCATCTGCGCAACATCAATCAATTACGTTCTTCCTTGACAATAAATGACACTAAGATTCTTGTAAATGCCCTGGTTTTATCACGTTTGGATTACTGTAATGCCTTACTCACGGGCCTACCTCAGAAACTTCTTCACAAACTTCAGTTAGTGCAGAATGCAGCAGCGCGTACAATTACCCGGACACCTTTTTCTCAACATATTACTCGGATTCTTGAGGAGCTTCATTGGCTCCCAGTATGCTACCGCATTGATTTCAAAATATTACTCTTAACATTCAAAACCCGTGACCTATTGAATTTGTACACACCATCACGATTTCCCATAATTTACTTGCTATACCTCCAAGACCGTCTATCCTTGATGGGCCTTGGGTCTTTCGGCTCACAGGCTCCGCGGTTATGGAATAGCATCCCCTTAGACATCCGTATGGCCAGGTCTATCACTCAGTTCAAATCATTACTGAAAACTCATTTGTTTAGACATGCCTTTCTGAATGCCTAATTTGATTTTAGTTGATTGTGTATGTAATTCAGCTATACTATGTAGATTTTAATGGGTAATGTATATCTTTATGTTAATGTTATATTGATTGATTACTTGATGTATTTGTATATTTTTATTTTTGACTTTAGTCTAGTATTTTAGCACTTACTGGTTTTCACTTTTAACTTGTATTTGTTTAATTGATTGATTGATTTGTAATTTTAACTCGCTGAGGACTGTTTTATCTGTATTATGCAATAAAGCGACCTTGAGAGTCCTGAAAGGTGCTACAAATAAAATTTGTTGTTATAATAATAAATTATAAATATTAATAATAATAATTCCTGAGATCCTCAGATTGTAGCGCCTTTAGGGATGAAGCAGAACTTTAATCACTGTCAGGTTTTACTTTCTACACAGCCTGAAGAGACGGGGGCTCGGCAGAACAGAGGAGAATTAAAGCAATAAAATAACTGGAATATTCGTTTCTCTATGTGATGCTGTGCGTTTGACCTCATAGGAAAGGACCATAGTGGACAATAAAACAGATGGTCTGAGTAAATGTCTCCGTGACGTCCACAGAAACTCGAGGAGTCCTCAGACTCTGAATGTCTTTCACAGTTTTACTTTGGACCTCCGGTTCCTGGTTGTCTTATTTGGTATTTAATCTCTTTAACTCTGATTTATAAATCACTCATATATATAAAAGGCTCCAGAACAACCAAGAACCAGCTTCAGAGCGGTTCTATCAACAGTTTGTTCCTCCTTATTAAAATGAACTTAACGTTTTTTTTTTTTAAACTGGCAACGTGTCACACCGTCTATTAGTCTACACGTCCGGCCTTTCACACCAGACACTCCTGCTTTTGTCCGCTTCCCTCATAACTTAGGTCACACCTATAATGTTGTCAACGCTGAGCACAAAGAGTGAAACTGGTGGAAAGTGCTGGTCAATAAAAACTTTCCTAGGAATCCTTGAAATAAAATCAAGTGCTGTTTAGTATTTATCAGATCAGAATGTGGTGCAGACTCGTCCGTGATCCTGGAAGGAGATAAACACGTTTCAGTTAAAACAAACAAACAAACAAACGAGGTCTTTGTTTGCTTTTGTGTGTAAAGAGCAGAGAAGAACTGAGCGACTCCTGCAGCAGCGAGCTTTTATGGGATTACACTCAGCTGCTCCTTAAACTGTAGTCTTTAAGCAGCAGCTCCTCTGGGAGCTCTCTCTCTCAGTGAGGACGCTCCACTGACTTCCATTCCTTTTTGTGATTTCACTAAGCCTAACCCATACCATAGCCAGTGCTGATCTATTCCTAACCTTAACTAAAACTTAATTCACACCAAACCTCTAACTGGTACAGTAAGCTTCTGGTAAGCTTCTAAAAAAGAGAGAGCACCCAAAAAATGTGTAGGGAAAATGGTCCTCAGTATGTAGTATGTACAATATTGCACGCACGCGCACGCACACACGCACACACACACACTCTGACTCAGAAGGCTGCGCTCTGCCTCCACATGTTCTGGTGATTAGATGAGCTTCCGCACTTCATGACTCACTGACTTTTTAAAAACCAGATCAATTAGACAATTAGATAATCTTCTGGAATAAAAGGAGCTCCAACTTTTTCTTAACTCTAAGGTTTGTTGTAATAAATTAATTAAAACAAGAGCTTCAGCCTCGAGTCTTTTTACATTGAACCCCAAAATACTTTTAGTGAAATCTCCAACATAAATGGAATATCTGCAGAAAGTACTTAAGCTGTGATAACAGATAACGAGCCCCTTACTTTGGAGGGTTTAGGGTCAAAGGTCAGGATGTGCTAGAGAGCAGAAGCCATGGTTGAGATACAGCAGGTACATCACGTAGCTGGAGGGTTGCAGGATCGAGTCCCACTCGATGTTTTGCAGTTTTGATGGAGGGACCGGTGATCTGCAGGGCAGCTGTGGCTACGACGTAGCTAATCACCATCAGTGTGTGGATGAATGACTGTGTTGTAAAGTGCCTTGGGGGGTTGTAGGCCTACAGGCCTAGAAAACGGCATTATGATCAGTATCAAATACAATTTCTCATCTTCTTCTTTCTGGCTTTTGTTACACAGATTTTATTGGTTTTTCAAGTCCTACCAAGGCCCTGTCCACACGTAGCCGGGGATCTGCCAAAACGTAGATATTTTTCTACGTTTTGGCCTGTCATCCACACGAAAACGGAGTTTTTTCACACGAAAACTGATCTTTTTAAAAACTCCGGCCAAAGTGAAGATCTGCGTTTTCTCCATTTTGGGTGTCTGCGTGTGGACAGACAAAACCGGAGTTTTAAGGTCCGCAACGTCACTTTCCGCGACAAAAAAATGCTGACATCACGTGTGCGACCTGTGTTTACGCTAGCCGACAGCATGGATGCCCTCAGAGCTGCGCTCGCTTTATCAATTGTCCAAGCGCTTTTTGCTCGTTTGTTTTTGCAAGAGGAATTACTGCTCCTTGCGGAAGACCACAGACTAAGGACGAGGTTAAGAATGGGGGAAGTACTGCCGCCTACAGGTCTGGCATGTCCTTAACAACGTATTTATCTGGGTACGTGTGGACAGAGTTTGTTTTTAAAACGAGGTGGTGTGGATGCGAGTTTTTGGAGGGGCGGATATTCGTTTTTAAAAAAACCCGGCTACATGTGGACTAGGCCTAAAAGTGACTGTAGATGGATACAAAAACTGCTCCTACACCTAAAGCCTGCCCGTGAAAAGCAGAAAATCAGAACTCAGAGGCTTCCTGAGGCTGCATCAGTCGCCTAACAGCAGTCCGGGTATTTTTAGACGGCAGCCGAGGCTTTCTTCAGCAACAGCCATCTAAAAACCACCCAGCGGAGGAAGGCATTCGAGTCGACGCAGTAAATGTTTCATCTGCTTTGACCCAGAATCAGACTGGGAGTCCTGTGACTGGCCCCAGTCTGGAGCTGGGAAGTATGTGATAAAGAGGACTGAGGAGGAAATGGGGAATATTTGAGCCAAACTCTGGAACATGTGTCAGGATTGTTTAAATCAGCCAGATAATCCAGTGTGGGTAACAAGATTATCAGGAGGGAACCATCAAAGACGTTTACCTTCCAAACACGCTGTGCTTTCTGTCCAGGTAGGTGCAGGAGCGAAACGTGATGAAGCTGCGTAAAACGAGATGTATGGAAACAAGAACTCAGTTTCAATTAAAGCACAAAACCAAATGATCGTTTTCCTCTGGATTATAATTCGGTGCAATTATATTAATCTGTGAAATTAAATCCTGCACACAGAAACCTTAACATCTAGAAAAAGGTTTTCTTACAACTGAGATTTGTTGGTGTTTGGACCCGAGTTAGCCATGCTCAGAACCCCCCGGCCCGTGTGGGAGAGGTTGGGCCGGAACTCGTCTTTGAAGGGTTTTCCCCAGAACGATTCTCCTCCTGGAAAAACAAAAACGGGAATAAAATATGAGCCTGAGAGGATGACCGTAGCAACCTGGAGATTAAGCAGCACACCAGGAAATAATCGGACTTTTACCACTTCTTAAATAAGCAGTTATCTGCATGGGTACCAACAGCACCTCTAGAACCAGATCACTGTTAGGTTTTAGAGTGAAAACAGTTTTATTTTTCCACAAAACTCAGATTTTTTTTTGGTTATTAATTCTGAACTCAGCATTTCTATTCGAACCATATTTATTAACCCAAAAAGTGTGAATGTAAAGTTAATGACCCAAACGATTCAAAATGTAAAGATGTTGATTAACGTCGACTACCATCACTAGATGCTGTGGTTCTGCAGGACACGGAGAGCCTTTAGAGGACTTTAATTGCCTTTTTAAAGAATAAATTCATTAGTGTTCAGGTCCAAAAGGAGCAGTTTGTGTTAGTCGACGTTTAGGAATGATGATGTCAGAGACAGAACGTCGTGGACGATGTTTGTTCGCAGAAACCAGACCGGACCCCTGACTTGATGGCGCTGGCGCGTTTGCAGCGTGATCAAAAAGGAGTTCCTTTTTTTTCAGGTTAATTTAAACTTGTGATGCACCGATATGAAATATTTGGGCCGATACCGATATGTTGATATTAATGCTTCTAAAATCAGCAGATTTTGTATAGAATGACAATTATTAAAGCTGAATTTACGTTATTATGTACACACACACACACACACACGGTTCTGAGATCATTTCATTCACTGTTCACATGACTAAACAATCACACATCCCCCCCCCCCAAAACAGGCAAATAAATGGAGACGAGATGGAAAAAATATCGGTTGTTAATATCTGCCCAGTTTTTATTTATCGAACCGATACCGATATGTTAAACGACTAACATCGGCCGATACCGATATTGATGCCGATATATTGTCCATCCCTGATTTAAACTAAAAACAGATCTTATTTGGCGTCCTTGTGGCTGTTTGTTTCAGCCTCGTGAAGACCGGATAAGAGCAGAAGCACTTTTCTGCTCCACTGGAGCAGACATCTCATCTGGGATGTTCAAGTGTGAACAAACCGAATTAACCGTTGGGTTTAATTAAAGGAGGAAAAACCGGAACCCTCCGTTTGGGAAACACCCAGAGAAAAGGAAATCCAGCCTCCTGCTTTTCTCCTCTTCCAGCTTAGATTTTCCATATTTTACTTTGCTTGAATGATCAAGTCCTGTTTGGCACCTCCTTCCAGATTTCCTTTGGTCCAACTGGACCAGTTAATGAGGAATCGGATCATTCTGAGCACGGATGTGCAAAGCTGTGAAGTTTTACATCAGAAAGCCTTGGGTAAACTTGTTAAACGGAAGCAACAAACACCAAGTTTGTTCAGTCCTCAATCTGTCCAGTATTACTTAATGAATGTGCAGGGAAACATGTTGCATCTATCAGATCTGCTAAGATGAATGTTTCTCTCCAACTGCCTCTGGTTTTAGTGAGCCAGGAGCTAAAAATAGAAAGGTGTGAAAGTCAGGCTGTTTTTTCTCCTCCACCGTGCCTTTCATATTTTCATCACATAGCAAAAGGACTCTAGTCAGAAGGACTTAAGAGGGGCGAGCCTCTGGGTGTTTGGTTATGGGGTGGAAAAGCGGGTTTCCCGTTGAGAGCCTTCAGCTGCGATTCATTATCCAGGCTGACTTCATTATTAAGAGTCATCATGATGAGTCTTCAGGAATACGCACTGCAGGAGATTATTGGCTCCAACAGGGAAAAGGACCGGTTTCCCAGAGGAGTGTCGTGCCAGCTGGTTTACGTTCGGTCGGGCGAGATAGGAACAGGAAAAGTAAGGACTGGGAGAGTGTTGATGCTGGTGTGAACAACCCCTGAGAGGCTTCCATGGTGACGCTCTTGCATAATTCATCAGCTAGTTGACATTCTAGCCAAATGGATCCTAAACAGAAAAGCACCATAATAAACTCAATCTGATGGAAATCTGAAAATTCCCTGTAAATGATCACAAGTGACTCCCCCGCTGACTCAGCTGAGGGGTTTGTGCTTCTAAACTTGGATGGTGCATCGTGAAAATCAGTGCTTAGAACTTCTCCGGAGAATCTGGTCCTGGAGGGTGTTGGTTTGGAGCGTTGGGAAGGAGCCGAGGCTAAATTAAGCCGTTTGCTGAATTCGTCTCGTTCTAATTTCTGCACAAGCAACAAAGAAGGGCGTTCACTCGGTGTGTGAATCATTTCTGAGATTTGTTTAGAGGTTCTGACAGGATTCCTTCTCTTTAGTCGTTTCATCGTTGATGTATGTTGAACGCTGTAGCATTTAATTGTTTTTGTGGTATTTAGTTGTGTTGCTTTCATGGTTGTTTTAAAGTGATTCAGAAGGTGGAAACGTACCTGACGTTTCTTAAAGCGACTGCATTTTTAGCAGTGGCATCTCATTGACTGACTGACGCGTAACGGACTTCTCAGATCTACGCTGGAGGAGGCGGGAAGTGGCAGGACCACATGAACACAAGCTTCCTTCCATCACTCGGACACTAATTTGTCTGTTCTGACTGAAGAAAAACGTAAGATTGATGAGCGCTCGCTAACGTGCAGCAACCACGTTTACTTGGTGGTGGTGGTCGGAGGGACTGGTGGCGCCAGTGCTCGGCAGCCTCGCCTCTGTCAGTGCGCCCCAGGGCAGCTGTGGCTACATTGTAGCTCATCATCATAAGTGTGTGAATGTGTGTGTGTGAATGGATGAATGATACACTGTAGTGTAAAGTGCTTTGGAGTCCTTACTCTGAGAGGTGCAATACAAGTGCGGGTCATTTATCATTTATCATACTTGGTGACGTAATTTCAGGGCTTTGAAGTGTTCCCTCTAGTCTGGTAGGGTCAAGTTGAAAGGACAAAGTAACAATAGAATAGAATGAAGTAGTCTTTATTGTTATCATTCTGGGAGGCACAGCCAAGCCACACTCCAGTTATTTATAAAATGTACACGTAGTACTTAAAATGTACTCTATATATGAAGATCATTTGCAAAAACAAATACCAATTTTTACAAATGAAAAAAGCATCTTTTTATTAAACCAGTGATTTCAGTCTGGTGATTAACGCTGAAGTAATTAGTCGGTGAGACGCAGCGTGAACATAGCCTTGGTTATATCTGATTATAAAGTAAAATTATTACTAAATTATCAGTTTAATGGACCGGACCTGGAAGCTCAAAGTTCATGTTTTACATAAGTTTTCTGTAAACCAAAGGCTTTTAACTCAAACTCCCATCAAACCACTATCCTTTAATCATCCAGATGGAGCATAGGGATTGGTACCTTCTCCAGTCTGCTGCCCCCTGATGGAGGTGGAGGATCTACAGGTGGCAAGGGCCTGTTTAATTTCTCTATTATATAACTGGATAATAAAATAAAACTATTACTATTACGTCTCGTAACTTGAGATTCAAAAGCTAGACTTTATATTTCGGGCTTTAAAGGCTTAAAAGCCTAGTTAATAGTTAAGTGCCACTTAAAACTAAGCCATCCTATATATGTGGATGTAGAGTCTGGTGATGGTCCATTGATGGCTCTCAGTTGTCTTTCAAACTGTCTCCACATGCTATTGGACAACAAACCGCTATGGATGTCAGTCAGCGAGGCAATTCGTTATTCCCTAACCCCAAATAAACCTAAGTACCTCTATCTGCGCTTGAGTCAAGGAAAGGTCCAAGTCAAAATAATAATAATAATAATAATAATAATAATAATAATAATAATAATACATTTTATTTAAAAGCGCCTTTCAGGACACCCAAGGTCACTTTACACAAAACACGTAATAAAATACAATAAAACAATAATAAAACCCAAAGAAGAAAAAACAAAGAGAGAAACAGTTCAATAAAATCAGAGGTTGTAGGCAGATTTAAACATGTGTGTTTTGAGTTTTGTTTTGAAAAGGGTAAAACTGTCGATGTTCCTGATATCTGGGGGAAGTGAGTTCCAGAGTCGAGGAGCAGAGCGGCTGAAAGCTCTGCTCCCCATGGTAGCGAGACGGGCAGAAGGAACCGCAAGATGGATGGAAGAAGAAGATCTGAGTGAACGGGACGGGGTGTGAATACTTATAAGGTCTGAGATATATGGAGGAGAGAGGTTGTGGGTTGCTTTGAAGGTATGAAGGAGAATTTTGAAGATGGACCTGAATTTAACTGGGAGCCAGTGAAGCTGCTGGAGAACTGGGGTGATGTGGTGAAAGGAAGGGGTTCTGGTGATAATACGGGCTGCTGAATTCTGGACCAGTTGCAGTTTATGAAGGAGTTTGTTGGGGAGACCATAAAGAAGTGAATTGCAATAGTTGTCGGAAGTTAATGCCAAAGCCGTTTCAAATGAGCCGTCACCATTTTTGCTTTTTCAGTAACATCCCACCCGCCAACAGAGTGCTGTGATTGGACCGCTACAGATGTCAGTCAATGTGACAGTCCGCCATCGTGGAAGAACTACATAAAAAACCAAAATAATACGCCGCTTTTCTAAATAAAAGCGCTGAGATTGGCCCGCCAAAATACTAGCTGAGGCGGCTCCAATGGACAGCCAATTTGGCTTTTGGCAAATGACGGTCTAGATTCTACGATAGAATGTTCTTGCTGATTAACTGAAGCCAACAGACTCCCAGGTGAAATTCTGGCTTCATCAGATCCTAAAGCTTCAGGTCAAGAAATGATTGAACACAAAACCTCTGAAATAAATCTCAACGACAGGAACAGGCGTGTGCTGCAGGGCAACATAAATCAGCCAGTTGTGGGAACGTTAGTCCTCCTGGAGAGCCGGTTACAGGTCTGTTATCCACCTGTGTGCACACAATGTTCCACACAGGTGATGAGGGGAATTTTACCCTCAGGCCAGAAATTCCGCACCTTCATGAACCTGATGCAGCAAAGCGTTCCGAATTCCACAAAGATCACTTTGTGCTCCAAACTCTCCCAGCAGCACGGACATGTAGACGGGAAACTGACTGTATGTGGCCTGGAGCCGGATTACACGCCGCTGCTGTTTGAAAACAGGAAAACGTGGAGTGCGGTGCCTTGGTCTGCCTGAGTGTTTGTGACTTCCGGGTCAGGGGGTTTAAGATTTTTGGCGTCTGCCTGATCAATCCCGGTGGCTGCCTGGTGGGATCTGGGTCCCTGGGCTCTGCTGGGTCCCCGGCGGGAGTGGTCGCCCCTGGGTCCCGGGCTTGGCTGGCTGAGGGGTGGGAGGCTGCGGGTGGGCCTGTGGGCTTGCCGCTGAGATCTCCCGGGACTCTGCCGGCTGCTGGTTGTGGCCCCCCGAGGCGATCCTCTGCACCTCTTGAGGGGGGCGGGGGCTTTTCTGGTTACGGTCTCCTTGGGGTCCCTGTGCTCTGGGGCAGCTCCTGGATCTCTGGGACTTGGAGCTCCCTCCGTCTCCTACACATCTTTGGGGGGCAGATCTGTGGCCCCTCACACACTCTATTAGACGCTCCTATAGAGAAACCTTACATTTACAAGCGCGTGTACACACACAGGTGCTCACATCGTGCTCTCATAAGTATGGACTTGGGCACGTTAACACATGTCTTAAGGCTGTGGTTGGCACTAAATGCACTGTGATTTATTATCGTGTGACTGTTCAGTTAAACAATGTTGATTTTACATTTCCTCATCAAGTTGACGCAGTGATAGCTTGCTCCTGTTGTATTGTTGTGTGTCCCTTTTCTGCAGGTCTAGAAGCAGAACAAGAGATCATCATTGACTGTTTATTTTCGTTTATTATCCTGTTTGCTTCACAGCCAGACAGGGCACGGGAAAAAGAAAAAAAAACACACAGGAAAACGACTCCACATGCTGAACGATTGGTTGTTCTTGCCCCCACCCCCGCTCAGCATTTCTGTCTACTCTTTTGTCCCATCAGAGTAAATTTAGTCACACTGCTGACTAGAAAATCCAGCTCTTAGCCGTGTTTACGCAACCCTTCCTAAAATAAACCATTAATAATTCAGAGAGGAGGCGGTATGGGATTAAAAATCCAGTTTAGGTGCAGTGCTCGTCTTACCTGTGCCTGTACCGGTGGGGTCGCCTCCTTGGATCTGAAAACAGAACAATCTGAGTTCAGTCATAGTTTCATTAACGTCAGAAGCAATTAAAACAATTTATTTGATCGTATTATCGCTTCACTCTTCTGCTGATTTGTTTGCTTCATTATGACAAAAAAAACCTGCATCTGACTGATCCGAGTCATCAGTGATGAAAGGGAGAGCACCATAAACCCAGCCAAACTGGCTCCGATTGTTCACGGTCACCTTCTACCATCAGCTGCTTGATGAGAGCTCTGAGCTCCTCTGGACCCCTTTGGCCACGCGTGTTGCTCCGGCAACATTTACATCAGGTAGTTTGGAGGAAAACTATTGGATTTACTAACAGCAGAGGTAGATTTAGCCAAAACATTTAGCTTTTCAGGCTTTTAGGCTGTTCTGGCCTCCAACTTCTACAATAAAGTAAAAGGGTAAAGTGTGCACAGCAGATTTGAAACATGATGCAATATTCCACTAAAATCATTAACAAGATGATTTTTGTGGTTGAAGGGTTAGGGTTAGTAGCCTACCACGGTGGTTAAATCCATACAAACCTGCATAAGAGCTTTTCTGTCTAAAGAGAATAAAACAAAGTAGTAACTGTTCCCCACTGGGTGGGAACGCCACCGCTTCGGGTCAGGAAAAATAATTATAGTTACAAAGAACTCCAGTGTCGGTGTGGAAGGTCTAAAACCTCCGTGTTTCAGAGGCAATAAAAACTTTTTCATCAGTGGAAAAATGTGCTTTTGATGGTTTTCATCTGCTTTAAGGTTTCTGAAAGCAGAAGCTGTTTAGTGTTTGGAGGTCCCGGGCTCACACGGCTGAGGGTGAAACGTCATGAAAACGCTGAAGTCGTCAAACCCTAAAAATAACTTTACAAGGTTCCGTACAGTGAGGAGAACCGTGTTCCTGTGATGCTTTTAAAGGTTTTGTTCCAATACAACGATCCTGCTGAAGCTGCCTTTTATCTGGCGACGTAATCACGGGTAAACAATCGGCAGTTCACAAGAAGGGACACAGCAGACTGCACTTCTTGAGGACGCTTAGGTCCTTCAATGTCTGTAGCAAGATGCTGCAGATCTTCTACAAGTCTGTGGTTGAGAGTGTCATCTCTTCAGCCATCGTCTGTTGGGGTAGCAGCATCAGAAGCAGGGACCTGAAAAGGCTCAACAGCCTAATAACAAAGGTCGGTTCTGTTCTGGGGACGACTGTGGAACCACTGGAGGAGATGATGCAAAGAAGGATTCTCCAGAGAATCAAGAAAATGATGGACAACCCTGAGCATTCTCTTCACAAGACTGTCCGACAACGGAAGAGTGTCTTCAGTCGGAGGCTTCTTCAGTTTGGCTGCAACACTGACCGCTACTGGAGATCCTTCCTGCCAACAGCCATCGTAATATACAACAACTCTTTGATGACGTGATTATTATTATTATTCTGAGCTACTACAGCAATCAATTTCCCTCTGGGATTAATAAAGTATTTTTGAATTGAATTGAAGTCTGCAGAAGCAGCCCAAACCATCATCTCTCCACCACCATGCTGACTGGCTTGGATCAGCTGCTTGTGCTGCAGTGCACTGTGGGTAAACACCTGCAGTAATCCTGTGGTTCTTTCAGATGCAACCCTAGGCTGTACTGTCGTGATCCTTTCCAAACAAGCCTTGACCTTTGACCTGCTAACAGACACCTGTGGAGCTCTTGGGATTTTTGTCATTTCTATGAAAGTTTGACTTGGTGTGAACTTGCAAAGATGTTTGTTTAGGAATGACCTTTGACCTTTCTCTGGTCAGCACCACCTGGCTGCTTACTACCCTCTTAAATCCGAAAGGATCCATTTAGTTTTTACGCGTTTCTGAGGTTTAGCTCCGGTCTCCATGTTCATCCGCATCTGCAGCTGAACCACCGCGAGCGGAGCGCATGACCCCGTGACATCACACTAATTCGCTCTGCTTTAAAAATAGCGTCAGAGCCAGTTTGCTTTGTCCTTTCATCACTCGTAGCAGAAATGAGTGTTTGTAAAAGATCCTTCTCGTCCAACTCGTAACCAACAACGTCCAGCTTCGGTTTTATTCTTACCATGAAGTTTCTGATGGACCTGTGGAAGATTGTCCCATCGTAGTAGCCTTTTTTACACAGACGGATGAAATTCTCTCCAGCTTTGGGAACCTGAAGTAAAGTAAATCCATTTGTTATACAGAGAAAAATCAAATAAAAACCCACCTGGAGTTCATAAGTTTAACGCAGCTAGCGGGACGGACCCGGTTTCTGATTGACTAAAAATCATCTCTGCTGCTCAGAATAAACACAGTTCCACAATCTTATAATTCGGTTTAATCTGTGAGGAAGGAGAAGCAGGAGAAATCACACGCGTCTGTAAGGAATCAGCTGTGAAGTAAAAAACACTAGCAGCCAAAGAAACATGAAAACTGATTGGGTATGATTTAATAACACATTTATGGATATTTTACTTAAGTTATTAGTTCTTAGATTAAAACTGCAAGTCAGATTGAAATGTAAAACCTAATGACTGCAGTTTTGTTTAGTTCAACGGAAATGGAGATGAAGCTCAGTTTGTCAGAAATGATCTTTACAGAAGTTTGGGAGGAAGTAAGTTCATGTGTCGCCTGAAGCAGACGTGTAGGTATCTGAAAAGCTGCTCTGTTCTGCTGCCGTCAAACACAGAGCGGTATCTGGGCCCTGCTGTAAAACATCTCACCGGAGCCGGATCTGGAACAGGGCGGGGCTTAGGCCGTGATGGGGTCTACTGGAGTGAGTCGCTAACTTTTCCCCTCCTTGGCAACATGATGATGGTTTCCAAGAACAACAGCTGCTTCGTAAAACCTATTTTACTCTCTGGCTCTTTTGCTGGGGGACAACTTTCTGAGCTCGTTTCCGCCTGCATCACAAACCCGCTGCTAAAGTTCAACTCTGTGCCAAACGGTACCAACAAACAGCACAAAGAGCCTCTAAAACCCACAACAGCAACATTCCTTCCATTTTAGCAGTAAAACTCAACTCTGGAACAGAAAAACATTTACTGATGCGATGTGAGATGCAACAGATTTCTGGAACATCTGGAGGTGGAACTGCTGATGAATATTTCTCTCCTCTGATTCTGAACCCAGGAGTTGGACGACAGTTCTGTATCTGTGACCCTGCTGCTGCAGCAGAATCACGAAGGCTCATTTTGTATTTCTGTGCACAGCTGAAGAACGTCGAACATGCAAACTCGTTTGGAAACCTGAAAATGTACTTTAGATCGTCGGGAAGCGGAGAAGTCAGCCATGGACAAGTCTTAAGATTTAACTTCCTCGTTTCATCAAATCAAATGCGATAAAATCAGCTTTAGTCGGTTAAGTCCCACCAGCTGTCACACTCTTTGGTGTGAAATTTGTTCTCCACATGTGACCCGTCCTCTGAGGGGGTGGTGAGCTGCAGCTGTGGCTGCGCTCGGGAACAATTTGGTGGTTTAACCAATTGGGTCCCAAGTCTTTGGTATGACCCAACCGTGGGTTTGAGCCCAGTCTCAGGGTGGACACTACCACCTGGCCACTGAGCAGGTAGTCATTTAAGGTTCCGATAGAGATGCACGGTTCTGGTTTCAGGGTATCTGCAGGTTTAAGGGCGTCAAATTTAAGACTTTTTAAGACCTTTTTTAAGGCCACTTTGACCAAATTTAAGCTATTTTTAAAATTAAATCTAAGCTATAATTTCAGCTATTGCCTGGAACCGGTGCTAACGTGGGATTAGCCATCCAGTTACCATTAAACTTGCACTTCCCCATGGCGCAAGCTCCCACTAGCTCAACCAGCTAATGTGCCCTTCTAAAAATATCCCCCTTTCACAACCAACTGAGTGTGTACGGTTCCGCTTACGCCAACATCGTCGTACACAAAAGATGCTGAACACTAACTAAAAATTCACAAACATTTTATAGAAATAAAAGAATCTTGTTTATTGGGTCTTTGATAATTTAAGACCTTTGGAAACTGTAAGGATTTTTAAGGCCTCTAAATTTGGAAAAGCTAATTTAAGACTTTTTAAGGACCCGCGGATACCCTGGGTTTTAATGCAGCTGCGACGGCCGATCCAGAATCGAGATTCGTTTCAGTTTCGGATGACTCGGTTTGTGCTCGGTGAGTTCATAACCACAGGAAAGTATCAGATTCATTTATTTTAGTTTGGAAACTGATGGAGAAAAAAGTGGGTTATTTTAATGGAAAATCTCTCCTGACAGGACTGCTGCATCATGGGACTTGTAGTTTTACCCAAAAGACCTAAGAGACAACAGGTTAAATGTTCAGACCAACGTTGTTCCGACGATAAATAACTGCGGTTTTCATCCCCATCAGCGGCTCTTCTTGGCCTGATTGTTGTTTTTACCTTGTCACAGTGCAGCTCCAGGTTCAGGTCTCCCACGTTGGTGTGCAGACGGACGTAACCTTTCTTCTTCACATACTGATAACGAACCGTGTCGTCGGCAATGGCATCTGTACAGAGAGAACAGAAATAAACACGGAATAATTAAATATGGTTTCATAACGGACAGAAAATGTAAATAATGAAATAAATGCTGTATAAGCCTGGAAATGTTGGAGTATAAAGATAATTCAGTGTTAGTTTGGGAAATAGTTATTTAGAAATCTGAACTACAGTATTTCAAACAAATCAGCCCTTAAACTAAGCTTTAGGGAACTTCTCCGCGTGATCCAGAAACGTCCCCAGACCATTATCCTCCCATCTTCGTCACTGCTCTGACCCAAAATGTCTTCTACATCGATCTTCACGTCATTTAACCACAGGATGCTCTCCAAACCTCCACCAGGCTTCTCCTCATCTCCGTAGCAACATTTAATCAGGTAGTTTCTGCTCATGACCTCTGACCCGAGCACTCGTCTGTCCGTCCTCCACCGGTGGACCGAGCACGTGGTCCTTTGTGTCCTTTCAGAGGGCCGGCCCGTGCTGCCGCCTGGCTCCGCGCGGCTTCCATCAGAGCCGATCTGTTATTTGGCTTTTTAACGAGCAGACATGAATCAGACGGAGAAAAGAGGGTTCTGGGTTCAAAAGGTCATTTCGTAACAACCTTCCTGCTCTTTGATTAACTAGAAATAACTTAATTAAGCTAGTTTGGGTTTTTGAACTCGAGCGTCCCATAAAAAGGAAGTTGAGCCAAATAAAAAATGTTTAGTTGAATAGAACAAATGGAGCCTGGTCCTTGAGTAGCTATCCTGCATGTTTTAGATGTTTCCCTGCTCCGGCACACCAGATACCCGTTCAGCAGGTCATCAAACCGGTTAGAAGACATGTTTGTTTCTTTTTATTGTGCAGACGCTTTCATTCTAACCCGACATGCATGTTTTCGTTCTGTGGGAGGAAACCGGAGGAAGGCTGTAACTGGGATTCAAACCCGCAACCACGTTGCTGCTAGGCAACAGTTCTGCCAACTGTGCCACCATGCAGGGGACACCGAACGTGCCGATCGTGACCCTGGAGAACCAGGACTGGAGCCACACGTCTGTTATTCCAGAACATTTATGCTAAACTTTTTATTTCAAATACTTTTTAGACCTCTTATCTGTTCTTGGATTACCAAACACGCCCCAGCCGCATTAAGAACACTGAAGTAGGCCACCAGATTCAAACGCTGTCCTCCTCTGAAGTCTGAACCTACTAGTGTTGCATAACAGCGACTCCCTCTCGCTGCAGCGGTCCGCTCTCTGACAGGGTGACAACATTACCGGCTCTGCGAGCACGAAGAAAGCTCACACACGACTAACCAGGCCTCTCAGCACAGAGATTAACGCAACCAGATTAAGGAGAGATGAAGGCTTGTTTTTGCTGCAGAGGATCTATCTGTGTGAGATGTAGACTCGCCTGCTTCGTGTGTCGTTGCAGGAGTCATAGCCGTAGATGTGAAGGAGGCAGAAACTCTTCCTGTTGAGTAGTGGGCCTGGGGGGGCAAACACAAACATGGTTTTCAGGTCGGCTTTTTGCCCTCTTCAATACTAATAAATGGCGAGTACGAAAGGTTAAAGCTCATCCACACATGAGATATGATGTGACCTCTAAAACACCCACCGTCAGCTCTTTGACCTCTTTATGACCTCTGCACAACAATGTTTCCTACTTCTACTGACTGAAACCCTGTTTCTGGTTTGGGTTTAGTAGTGGGAGGAATGTCGTTTACTTTTCTATTCTCCTATTGTAACCTGCAGAAACCCTGCTAGCTGCACGGAGAGTGAATCAGAAATGGGCTTAAAGAAAAGGTGCAGTCGGGAAAAGCAGTGGATGGTCTTTTGTGGAAACTGACTTTACTAATCCATAAAACGGGTCACAGGCCACTCGTCTCCCAGTCATCAGATGAGTTATGTAGCACACGTTTGCCTTTGGTACCGGGGTGGATCAAGTCCAACAGGACGGCACATTGAATACGTTCCACTCTGAATGTTTATTTGAATACTGAAGGAAAAGGAGACAGTCTGGCTAACATGTTGGTAGCTGTAGACTGGTCAACTGTAGTCTGGTTAACATGTTAGTAGCTGCAGTCTGGTTTAGTAGTTAGTAGTTAATCATTTACCACGACGCAACAACAACCCTAGCCAGAACCAAACCAGCAGCTGTGACTTTAATCTGAGTCATCATATCTGAGAACACAACTGTTCACTTTTCATTCTTGTTTTTTCTTTAAATGAACAGAATCTCCCATTACTCTTTTCCTTTTCCCTCCACCATAACTCACAGTTTGGCGCCCTCTTGTGTCAGACTTTGAGCTTTTGAAGCAGAGTTGTTCTGCTTTAAGATTTGACCTACAGCATTTATTTTGTCGGTCTTCTTGGCTTCTGGCTCCTTCATGGTGGAAGCCAAGAGCTGATCCCCCTTGTAGTCTTTGTAAAGCTCAGCCAAGGTCTCCCTGGTTTCCAGGTTGGTAGTCTTCAGGTGATACGCTGGATCCTGCCTCGCCTTCTCCTCGTCTAAACGGCAGCAGATAAAGGAAAGAAGTATTTTACTCACAACAAACCAGAAATTTGACTCCGATCTCAAAGTAAAAATTACCTGCATCTGACATTTTCAGGTTGTTCTTCACATGGAAGAAGTTTGACACGTTGAATTTATCCAGGTTTGTGGGGTCCTTTAAAAACAGAAAGCAGATGTTTTTAAGGGCCTGCATCGTGCGAACTCCAGTCTTTGGAGCTTTTGACCGTGTTTTATTATTTCCTGATGAAAAGCAACGTAAAGCAGTTATTTTCCTGTCTCAGCTGCTTCTTTCCTTCAGCTCTGGAAAACTCTGCTAAGCTTCAGCAAAAGCCTGGGTAGAGCTTAGTTGTGTCATCACTGCCCCGCTCCTCCCCATCCAGGAGTCTCGGGTCTGGATCCCGCCGCTCCAGCGCCTCATTTATCAAACCTTACTAGAAACTGTCATATATTTCCAAATTCAGGATGTTAGCCTGAATGTCGTTTACATACAGAAACGCACTCGATTAACCACACTTGGTCACACAAGGTCCTCTAATGCCACTTACACGCTAGCATCAGCTCCACTCTGCTCCGCCCACCCCAGCCTGGCCACATTCGTCCCCCACTGCTTTAGCGATGTAACTGAGCAGCACATGGGCGGTCTGTGATGTCATGAGCGGATCTCCGAGCACGTGGGCGGGACAAAAGAGCACAGAGGTCCACTCCACGGGGTCTTCATTATTAAGCAAAAGCAGCCCGAGCAGTCTTGCTTTTGGAGACTCAGCATCCTGCTTTGCTGTGTGTGTGTGTGTGTTCCTCACAGCAGTGAGAGACAAAGTAAAATGGCTTCAGTCAGAGGCTCGTTAACACCACAGCATCCAGAATGATACTGAGTGCGTTTACATGCAGCCAGTAACCCTTTTAAAACCCGAATATTCACAATAACCCGGTTCCGCAGGTCCATGTAAACACCGCCAGAAACCCGGATGTGCTCATAACCGGGTTTTTAAAAACCCGGTTACTACACCTGGGGTAACCCTTTTCTAACCCGAGTGTTTGGTCGTGTAAACGCATACCGGGATATCCCCATCAAAGCGTGTGTTCTGCGCATGCTCTGTTCGCAAGGAATCTTGGTCTTTTGAGTAGCGAGACGTCTTGTATGCGCCAGAACTCCGGAAGTAAACAACAAGTTGGGAGCAACATGGCGAGTCGCGGCACAGCACCACACTTTTGGAGTGACAAAGAAACTAAAGCGCAAACAAACGCGGTCGCTATCTCTTCCGAACTGGGAAACATGTTGTTGTTTTCACGGATACCGGAACGAGAAGAACCGGAAATGAGGCATATTGCGTCTGGACGTAATCCATACGTCCTGACGCTACCCCAACGTCCGCATTAAAATCGGGTTATGTAAGTTAGAGGTAACTCTTTTTATTTATGCTTGTAAACGGGTTATTCTGATCAACTCAGAAACCCGAATACCGACCTTAACCCGATCATAACCCGGATATTGGCTGCATGTAAACGTAGTCAATGAATTGTGCCGACGGGAAGCCCCTGCAAGCTGATTCTATCTGCCAATCGGAGGCTCCCCCTAAAAGTACGCGTGACTTTGAGCCAGCCAGTCAGCAGGTAGCGTGTTGGACCAGTTTGGCTCCAGGCAGACCGCCTCAGGAAGAGGGCTAAAAAGACTTCCGGTGAGAAAATCCAAATGAGAACACTCCCAACCCGGTCCAGGCGGAGTGGAGCCGATGCTAGTGTGTAAATGCCATAAAGCTCGAGGGAAATCCCTGCGTTCTTCCCGGGGAAAACAAAACCAACTTCAGTGGCAGCGAGATCGAGGCGCTGCAAAAGAAACGACTAACCTGGAGTGTGATGATGTCCTTTCTTGTGAAGGGTTCATCTGTCAGCAGATCTTTGAAACTCTTGGTTTTGATGTTTAGTTGCTCGACGGCCTGAGGAAACCAAACCAGGAACATCACATCATCTCTAATTTATTATTTGTTTATATGGAAGGTTTATGGATTCCTACCAGTTTCTTCAAGTTATTTAAAAATATTTGAAAATGTTCAACATTTCTGTAAAAACGCTAACCTTTAGGGTTTGAATAGGACGTAACATCTGTACATGTTTAAGGGAGAACTGTTTGTGTTTGACTATCGTTAAAGTTTACTGACCTCATAGGAAAACACATTTCCAGTCACCTTGTTGGCAACAATGTGGGAATTATTTGTGAAGACGTTGTAGAGAACAGGGCAGTGATACTTTCCTGGAACACGATACAGAAATAAAAGAGAAAGCAGGGATAATCAGTCTCAGTTCGGTCAGATAAATGTTCATCTTCTCTGGAAATCATAAAGTATCTAAAACTTTTGTTCACCGGTCTGAAGAACAACACGAATACCTTCTCAGTGGCCTAGTGGTAGCGTGTCCGCCCTGAGACCGGGAGATTGGGGTTCAAATCCTGGTGGGGTCATACCAAAGACTAAAAAAACCAAAAGGAACCCAACGCCTGCCTGCCTGCTTGATACCCCGCGTTAATGGGTTGGACTGGGGGGGTCAAACCACCAAATGGCTCCCGGGTGCAGCTGTGTCTGCAGCTCACCGCTCCCCCAGGGGATGGGTCAAACGCAGGGAGCAAAGGTCACACTAATAACTAACGGGTCTTTTCATTTTTAATTGAATTCAAATCTGACGAGCTTCGGCAGCAATCGTCCCGTTTTTAAGTTTCTCTGGTTAACGAGAATCTCGAGGCTGCAAAAAACAACTTTTGCTTTTGTTGTTGAGGTCCTTCACTCGTATTTTTAATACAGTGGCTAAGGAGGTACAGCAGGTTGTCCAGTAATCAGAAGGTTGTGGGTTCGATCACATCTCCTGCCAGAGAATTCTGCTGTTGTGTCCATGGGCAAGGCACTTAACCTGCCTTGCCAGCTGGTGGTGGTCGGAGGGACCGGTGGCGCCCGCGCTCGGCATTCTCTCCTCTGTCAGAGCGCCCCAGGGCAGCTGTGGCTACATCGTAGCTCATCCCCACCAGCGTGTGAATGGGTGTGTGACTGATTGTGTTGTGAAGCGCCTTGGGGGGCTGTAGAAGCCTAAGAAGGTGCGATACAAATACAATGCAGAGCTATGCTAACATGTAAACAGATTTACCATCGTTGTTCTTTGCAATTTTAAGTTTAATGAGGGATTTTGCTTCCAGTTTCTGTAAAACAGAAAAAAATCCAAATTAGTTAAAAATATCACCTGAATCTTAGATTTGACATTGAGCCTGTCTGACCCAGCAACCTTAAAAATGTCTACTTATGCTGTTTTATTAATAAAATAATGAATTCAGGTGAAACTCAGATCCATCTCCTTTGTGACGAGTTGGAAGAGTTCATAAAACCACGGAGTCAAAGATTTGAAGCAAATATTTTATCTGTACTTTTTTATGATATTTTTACCACGAATAAAATATTTTCTTACTTCTCCAGAGATCGGATTGGTTCCATACTTCTTAATCCAAGGAACAATGCTCCTAAAGTACAACACAAAGACTTTTTTTAATCAGGATAAACGTTTCCTCCATAAAACATGTTTGTTTGCTACAGTCACCATCTGAGAAAATCTGTTGTACCACAAGTGAATAGAGCATGTCGGCTTTGGAATAATTCATGAGAAATTGCAATCAGCAAAGTTTCCTGCACTGTTTTACGTGTCCGTAAACATTTGTTTATACTGTCAACATGTCATGTAGAAAAAGTAGGGATGTTCCGATCACGTGTTTTTACTACCGATCTGATTCGGAGTCATCGGTGTAAAGAATCTGCCGATACCGAGTCCTGATCCCATACTTTACAAACGCATTAAGATAAAAGGAGAACACAATAGAGATGCCTTTTTTATTTAAATCATTAATGCTTTTCTTTCTTTCTGCATTTGTCATTTCTTTAGTTGTTTTGCCATAAAACATCACTTGTTTAGGAAATACATTAATAACGTGTTGATATTAAAAATAAATGTAAAAGTAGTCTTGTCGCTCATATTTTAAACCCTTTACTCGTTGTGTGGCTGTTTTCTGCAACAGGGACGACACGCCGCATGACTGTCAGCAACAGGGTCACTCTTTTCTACAATACACCCGTAGAGTTGCTGCGTCTGTAAAGTTAGGAAGAGAAAGCAGATCATCGCGACTCAAGGAACCCGACGTTTGCAACCACAGATGCTCAGTGTGGTAAATATGCTGCCATCTTGGTATTTTGCTCTGTCCAGTTTTTAAAGGTGAGACGTCAGATGTGTAGTGTTGAACGCAGCTCCACCTTTTCCACCTGGTTAAATGCCCGGTTTGCACACATTACACGTGTTTATTACACTCCCTTTGCTGTTCATTTAAAAATACACCCAGGTTAGTCATTTTCTCTCTTGAGATGACAACTATGCTCTGTGTTAGCTAACTGCTACATGTTATGGTACGTGAACTCCCGGACTACCTTAAATTGTGGGACTGACGTTGTGTGTGAAACAAAAAATGCTGATGTAGAGGAACTTGTTGAATTTAAAATTGTCATTGTTTTTCAGTTTGAAAATATCGTTCTTAAGATAAATTTAAAAAGTAATGTTTGTTATTTTTTTGGTTAAATCAGATTTTTCCCTCCCGGTTTCCAGAAAATCACGTGATCAGACCCGATTTCTGATCACATGATCGGATCAGAGCATCCCTGATAAAAACCTTTTAAAATCAGTAGGACTCACTTACAGCAGGTCGAACACAACTCCATCCTCAGTGCATACGGGATATTCAAACGGCTGAAGGGACAAACTTCACAAAACGAGAGAGAAAGGGATTTCAACTCAGTTAGCTAAACAAACTCATTTCACCCTAGTTACTCCCAAATGGCAAGTCTATACTGTCACTTATTCTCATTCCCTTGAGAAACTGTGCAGCCCTCCAACATCCAACAAGCCTCCTTACCTGCAATGGTCAAATGGAAGCCGTTTAAAGTTTGCCCGAGGGATTTCTGGAGCAGAAAACATAACATTGCATTCAGTTACAAAGACACTGCTCAAAAACTTTAAAGGAACTCTTAAAAAACACATCAGATCTGATCTGGACAAATACATTTTCCATGATCTTCATCTCTCAGCAATCAGTATCGGCCCTCAAGACCAGAACTGGTGCATCTCTGGTTATTTATAGCAGAAATTAGTGGTGAGAATAATCATGTGCATCCAACTGAGTAGTCTCGGAGATTAAGATGGTGTTTAAAAGCTGCTGCATGACATTTTTCACATCAGGGTTACAGCAATGATGTCTGGCCCAACTGTGATTACGTAAGTCTGCTCAGAATGCTTCTGTGTTTCTCCAGACTGAGGTTGTTCGGCATCTATCTTCCCACGTGATTCACTACAAAAGATCTAAACTGAAAACAAAAGCACAAAAACACAGCCTGTGTAAATGCACGTCACTCACCAGCTCGCTTCCCTCCGTAGAAGTTGGTATATTCTGTACATGTGATATACCTGTGAGAATGGTTTAAATTACAGGTAAAAACCAAATAAGAAACGAGATAAACTAATGCTAATGCAAGCTAGCTCAAACAAGCTAACATTAGCTACGTATCAATGAAGCTGGAAACTTTAACACATACATTTTGTCTTTCTGGTGCTGTCGCTTGCCCATCTTTGCTTTGAGGGTGGATCCAAACGGAAAAACGCAATAAAAATATCCAACTACAGCGATAAAACACTGGCAACAGTTAGCCTCGTCTGTCTTCTTCTATTTTCGCTTTGCGGTTTTGCCCTGGTAAAAGTAGCTCTCTGTCGCCCCCTGTCGGAACCACAATCCTAGTCGCCCCTGGATCATGACGAACCTGCTTTTCAAGTCTTAAAAAATAATAATCAGGATTCTACTGAGAAATTTAGACAAAATAAATACAAGATCTCTGTGGTTTTATTCAAATACCGGAGATCACCACATATGATAACAGCGTTCCCTGGTTTGAAATGTCAAGTTTGAAATTTTTTGACAGAAACATAATTTAATGAGTTTGTGTTGACATAACAGCTGCAAATGTTCGTTCACTTGTTTAATATGAAGCATCGTTTTATTTGGACTGAGCTAGGCTATGGATTAGTTACAAACAAACAAACATGGGTCTAGAAAATTTACGAAGCAAAAAAACAAACAAAAAAAATCCAATACCGACTGCACATTTTGAGGAAGATCATTTGATTGTGACGGGCAGAAGTAGCTCAGGAGTTAGAGCGGATTGTCTGGTAATTTGAAGGTTGCAGGTTCCCTCCCGACAGAGAATTCTGCTGTTGTGTCCTTGGGCAAGACACTTAACCCTTCTTGCCTGCTGGTGGTGGTCGGAAGCCTCACTGTGGCTACATCGTAGCTCATCACCATCAGTGTGTGAATGTGTGTGAAAGGATGAATGATGCACTGTAGTGCAAAGCACTTTGGAGTCCTCGGACTCTGAAAGGAGCGATACAAGTGTGGGTCATTTATCATCCTGGGCCCATTGATTTGATGTTAAGTCATTTTAATTGTATCTCAAGCAAGTCAAAACTACCCTCTTGTTAAATAAAAACACCGTAAATCCTCTAATACAGGCCCGGGCCTGTATTTGACTCAAGCTCATCAAGCTCCAGGCTTTTATTGGAAGGAGGGCCAGAATTAGAGGCAGGCCTCTATTTCTATTTGAGCAAAATGAACTAATGGTTCGCTGGAGTTTTTGACAATTAAAATTGCGACCAAATTTTCAAAGTTAAACACATTTCTTTTAACAATGGTAGTTTCTGCTTCAGCCATCTCCCCCCTCCCCCTGCGCAGCGGCCGCAAACTCACTGATGCGCCTGCAGCCTCTCGGAGTTCCTGCTGCTCTAAACATTAAAATAATTATTTCATTTTCTGTTCCTCACTTCTGATTACCTTCAATGGTGTCTGTTTGTTGCAACCACCAGGTACAAAAACTAACTTGTTTTTATTTGACTATTTTTCTGTCCTGCCTGTTTATTATCTTCCTGCATCTCCTCTCAATCCTAAAGAAAAACTGCTACCTGGGTTCATCTATATTCACCTTATGAGTTACCTTTGAACTGCAGTTCTAAAAGATCTACCGACCGCAAAAACAGCGGAGCGCTCGCTGCTTGCCGGCCACATCAGTGATCGGTGCGTCACCGGAGGACAAGGTGATGCGCCCCGCTCCACAGCAGCGAAACGCATCAGGCGCAAAAAAAAGACAGAAAACATTAAAGGAAATGAGCCAACATGAATGATCGTGTGTTAAATTAGTTTTTGAGGTGGCGACACCTGATTTGATAATGTTACTGTGGCCGTGCTCAGGACGCAGATGTCTGGAACGCGTCAACAATCAGAGCTTTGCATGCGCAGGCTGGTTAAAGTTAGGATGGGGGTGAGGGGAAGGTTAAATTGCAAGAGGGTAAAGGTCACAATTTGGTTAAATGTCCGTTTTACGGCGGGTGTCGGTACCGACGCTCTGGCACAGCGCGTTGCCTCCCGACGCGCAGGAGCTTGTCACCTGCTGACAGCAGGCTGCTGTCTTTTCCGTGGACTGCATCTTGCCGGTCATTATCACGTGACAGCGACTAGTCGATGACAGGCATAAAAAGTCACTATAGTGAAGTTGACTAGTTCATACAACCTCTAATGCTCTCCAGTGTTCTGCAGCATAATCAGCACGTTCTCTTTGAACTTGATATCAAATTTTCGCCTGCTCTTCATCCCCGCACCTGCCAAATCGCGGTCTGTCACTGTCAAATCAAGTGAGACGGATGACACAACCGCCCCCCGTACTTGCTTGTTACCACATTCCGCCCGGCCACAATAAAATACCGGCCATTATTCACCTCCGCCGACTCCGACACCGGCCAAAATATGAGACCCGGCCGTTAATTGAATACAGGCCAATATTAGAGGATTTACGGTATATTAAAATAAAAATGTAATTTCATTTACACATAAGTCCTTAGCTCATAAAAATATTTGTATAGAGAAGTTTTATTTGTGCTGTTTGCTACATTTTAGTATTTAGTAACTAAATGATTGATTTGCTGTAATAAACTGTCAATTTCAGTCATTTTGTTTTATAACCAACAAATTATGACAGAGATTAAGTTTGAGACTGGGTCAGTGTGACGCTGGAACAACCAAACGTTTTGTACAGACAATAGAAATCACAATCGCGGATTTTTGAGTTTTAATCTGAAAGTTTCTGATGATCGTTACTGCATAGAACTGCTGCAGATTAAATAGAAAAATGTTGAATGAGAGCTGAGTTTGTAGTCAATGCTGTTTTTCAGTTTGTTTAATTTGATATAGAAAAAAGTAGAACATGCATTTTCTCTTTTCCTGATTAAGTAATGATGGCGGGGTTGTAGGAAAGGTCTGATGCCACCCACTAGTCAGGATTTGTGGTTACGTCATCAAAAGCTGCGCAGAAGTACTTCGGCTGAAGGCAACAGAAAGCTGTTTATTATTTTTTTCTGAGCGATTACGTTTTTATTATTTAAAACACAAATCATCAAAAGCAAGAGTAATTTAAATTTTTTTTACCATAAAATAAAAAAATACCCAACTTCCCCTGATTGTATTCATTAATGAAATATAAAAATCAGAAAATTCCTTTGTTTTTTTCCATTTTTGCTTCTGACACAAAAATTGAAACACCAGAAAGTACTCTGACCCTGAAGGAAAGTTTTATGTTTGTTTTTCCAGAAGTAAAGTTCAGGCTTGAACAGGCTTTATCAGTAATCCGTATTTTCCATGTGAATGCACAAGTTTAGTCATGGAAAATGTATTTCCCCTAAAGCATTCTGTCAAATTCTGCTTTGCCATGTTTGTTTTTTGCACACTTAGATTTAAAAGTTTGATAAATGAGCAATCTTCTGCTGTTCACCATCTTGCCACAGGAGTCCCCCAGGGCTCTGTACTGGGAACTCTTCTCTTTGCCATGTACACCACCTCACTGGGTGAGATCCTTCGATCACATGGCTTCTCCTACCACTGCTACGCCGACGACACCCAGCTCTATCTGTCCTTCCCGCAGGGTGACCTCACAGTCTCTGCATGAATCTCGGACTGTCTCTGACATATCAACATGGATGAAATCCCACCATCTCAACTCAACCTCTCTAAAACTGAACTACTTGTCATCCCAGCGAAACCATCCATACGGCACAAACTCTCAATCCAAAATGATTGTCTTTGGCTCCTTCAAAGGCAGTTCGAAGCTTGGGTGTTGTGATTGATGACGCCGTCGCTCGTTCATATTGCTTTGTGCTGTATAACATACAAAAGATCAGACCATACCTAACACAACATGCCACCCAGCTCCTGGTGCAATCTACTGTCATCTCCCTCCTCGATTACTGCAACGCCCTTCTAACTGGTCTTCCAGCCTGGAATGTGAGACCTTTTCAAACAGTCCAGAATGCAGCAGCGCGTCTGGTCTTCAATCAGCCAAAAAGAGCATGTCACCCCTCTGGTCATTGAGCTCCACTGGCTACCGCTAGCTGCACGCATCAAATTCAAATCGCTAGCACTAGCATACAAAGTCTTGGATGGTATGTCTCCCATCTCCCTGAATCCTCTTGTAAAGGCTTTCATCACGGCCCGGCCGCTCCGGTCATCAAAGGATGGTCGGCTAGCCGTGCCTACACCACGCTCAGGACAATCCAGGCTCTTCATGCATCGTTCCACAAATGTGGAATGACCTACCAAGTTCTACCAGAACAGCGGCTTCCTTGTTGATTTTCAAGAAACCCCTAAAGACCCTGCTCTTCTAAACTAGCACCCTCCCAGCACCCGTCCCCCACTCTACTGTCCACTCCATGTTCACTTCCCTCTAGGATTCATCATGCTGCCTCACTGGGACTGACTAGTGTTTGTAGTTAGCCTCAAGGCTAGCCTGCTGCTTCATTATGGGATGTAAGGTGGACAAAAGCGTCTGCTACATACATAAGCATAAACATGTTTTTAGTAGTTCACATGTGATGCATCAACGTCACGGGACAAATGTGACACAAACCCTGGCAGAGTAAACTCATCTACAACTTTATTTCATCGTGGCGTATAATTGGTAATTATGGCTAATCATTTAAGTGTCCTAAGAAGAGACGGGAGCTAACTCAAGGATGGACCAACATGAGCTAGGATCAGACGGTTCGTAACGTAGGTACATTCAGAACTGTACAGGTCCTAACCCCGTTTCCCCTAAAACACTAACGACAAGGAGTTGAGGAAGTTTAACAAGTCGTTTCATAACTAAACAAGAAATGAAGTTTAAACAAAAGCCATGACCAGGTGTTGTGGAGTGGTGAGACGTAGAAGCAACGCTACAGAGCAGCGGCGGCGGCGGTACAGCCCGAGTTCCTGAGTTACTGCTGGCTTGCATCTCATCAGCTTGAAACAACTCCTGGCTTCACACGAGGATTGGTATTGCACAATGAAAAACTCAACAGGTAAATGTTCCCATCCTTGACACTTCATCCGTTCCATGTGAAGAGTGGAGCTAGCGGACCTTTAGCTGTTTGGGGCTGAAACAAAAATCTGAGCGGGAAAACACACGGAGACAGAACCAGAGCGAGGAGCACGAGGGTGGAACGTCCAGGTGGATCGCTGCTTGGAAAGTGCAACAACAGAAATAAAGTGGATTTTCTCTTCTTTCCAACTTTGTTCCTCTCCAGAACAAATCCAGTCCAATCTAACGGTAAACTTGTGGGCGGCGGCGTCTCAGTACCGTTCTGAAAATGAAACGAGTTTGTTTTTCTCCAGTAAATCAGCCTCAGGTTGATAAAACAGTCTTGAGTGTTGTGATGAGAACATCACCGCAGATCCATCATGGACACGGAGCCTTCGGTGATGGTGACGTGTCCTGCGTGCTGAAAACAAGAAGCTCGCTTCAGTTCCAGAGACACCAAACAAGTCGGACAGACATGTACTTTATTTTCTGTTTTATTTCTTAGATAATGGCGTCAAACTCACCGTGAATAAAGGCGGTTCTTTGCTGTGAGGGTGGAAACCTTTCTGTCTACACGTGGAGATCTCATCTACTCCTCGATCCGTGAGCCGGAAGTAACCGATTCTAATCAAAACACAATCACACGAGGTCAGCAGACGCAGCAAACCTGAGAGACACTCCCATCGGCGTGGAACTGCAAAGGATTAACGACGCACTCGTTAAACTTAGGCGAGCAGACGATGGCGACGGCCTCAGGCAGCATGATCTGGTAGGAGCAGTGGGTGTGGAGGTCCACGCTGGACAGGAAGGCCGTCTGCGTCGGGTGAGTCTGCAAACACACACACACACACACACACAAATTTAATCCTCAGTCTTGTCTAGCGCCGCGTGATCAGGAGTCACATGATCGTCAGTAAAAGCCAGAAAAACGTTTTAGTAATTTTTTTCTCAGCGTTCTGAAGAGTCGGGTCAATCAATCTGAAGGCCGAGTCATCAAAAAGCACTTAATGATGACGAGTGACAGAAAATCAGTCGGATGTTTTTCTGGAGCATTTTTACATTTTACTTGAAGTGCTCTTCACCTACTGATGGCAACCAATAAATAAAGTTTTGTCAAATGAACAATTTTAATCCCCTCAGAAACGTACAATCCTGGAAAAACCTCATCCAATCATTAAGAACGTCCCGGTGACTGAATGATGAACGGATGATGATCCATCCTTCATACTGGCCTCTGGCCGCCCCTCCCCTCTGCATGTAGCCCTCTGTGTGCGAATCACACGCTCTCAGCCTGGAGCAGCTGAACAGGAAGTGAAGCCAGAGCTGAGCTTGCTATATTAGCTAGCATGCTAAACTGTTATACATGAGGAGTCCGTCAGAAGCCTGGAGGCGTGATGTAGCTGCGTTACGTTAGAATCGGTTGCATTGTTGGAGCTACCGGATGTTGTTTTTATACTGTAGCTTACTAGAACCAAGTTCTCCAGCAACACCAACTCATCGTATCTCCAGCTGCCTTCAGCACCAGAGAGTTAAAGGGACTTGACAGAGTTTTGAATTTTTATGCTCGCGATTGCCCCCTCAGGCCAAAAGCGTAACGGCAGCTTCAATAGTAGGCTCGTGCACGAGGCGCGCATGCTGTACGTGCACACTCCTTAACGAAAATAACAGCTGACACAGTCCCTTGTGTGTGTGTGTGTGCGGCCCGGAAGACAGAGGACAGGAGAACACGCAGCTAATTAATTAAATAATTTGGTTTAATGATAAATGACCCGCACTTGTATAGCGCCTCTCAGAGTAAGGACTCCAAAGCGCTTTACACTACAGTGTATCATTCATCCATTCACACACACTGATGGGGATGAGCTACGATGTAGCCACAGCTGCCCTGGGGCGCGCTGACAGAGGCGAGGCTGCCGAGCACAGGCGCCACCAGTCCCTCCGATCACCACCAGCAGGCAAGGTGGGTTAAGTGTCTTGCCCAAGGACACAACAGCAGAATTCTCTGTCCGGAGCCGGGATTGAACCTGCAACCTTCCGATTACTGGACAACCCACTCAACCTGTTGAGCTAATGCTGCCAAAGGTTCTGTACCTTTCTCTTCAGCACAGCCAACAAAGGTTTAAGATGGGTCAGTCCTCCTGCATGCTCAGATCATTCCCTTCCCTTGCTTGAAAAATTGTTCCAAAATGAAAGTTGAACCCACATCTTTTTTATCTGTGAATTCAATGCCGTTCGGCGAGTCTCAAATAACAATTTGGGCATCTTACTGTAAAAAAAATACCGTTAATGTAAAAAATAAACTCTAAATAGACTATGTTCACATCCAGAATCAAACCCAGGACTTCTGCATGGGAGTCCGACGTCTTACTAGGTGAGTTAAAGCACCAGTGGCGTCCTTTGTATCTGTAACATTTATATCCTTGATGACAGCTGAAACAACGTTCAAAGAACGGTTCAGAGCGAAAATGGCTATTTTGTTGCTAATTAGCAGGAAATATCTAGAAGAAAGTTCTACAGAAAGTAGCTAAGGGTCCTCAGAAATGTAGCTAGCTTTGTCACTAGGCGTTAGGAACAGCGACAAAGTGGCACTGCCTCTCTCTCTGCTGCTAAAGCTACGGATAGCAAATGCTACGGGCGATGCCTGAGCGTGAACGCGCATGAAGCAGCCTGCTCGACCCGAGCATCTCTCTTTTTCTGTGATTTTACAGAAAAACCGGCAATCACAGTAAAAATGCCAGGGCTCATTCTACAGGACCAGGGCATTGCAGGAGAATGTATGAAGAAGACATTTATTATTTCTATACATGTTTTGGCTGTCACACTTCCATATAGTCCCTTTAAACTGAGAAATGATGGCAGTATAGAAAGTTAAATTTTTACTTCAGTTAACTTTATTTATATAGCGCCCAGTCATGAAGCGTTTCCTCAAGTCACTTCACAAAGTAAATAATCCAATACCAGTAAACAGGGCATCCATAAGGCTAATTGTATTATGAATAATAATAATTATAACCTAAAAAAGCAAGATGGAAGTGCAGACAAGCTGATGTCACAACAGCTTGTGTCCAACCCTGGTCCTCCACAGCTTCTATCCTGCATGTTTTAGTCATTTTCCTGCTCAAACTCACCTGATTCAAGGTTTGAATCACAAAGAAAACCTGAAAACACCTAAAACATGCAAAAAACCTATCCTCGACTGCACCGTGATTAAAAAGCAAATCGTCGCGTTTAAGAGTGAAAACTTAAGAAATGCGAGCTTTAAGTTGGTTAGAATAAAGAGAAGACACTATTAATCTGAATCTGCAGGAGCAGAACCGACAGCTCAGCAGAGCAGCTGATCGTTTCCACGTGAATCATTAATGATGGTGTGCTGATTTAGTGGTTAGGAGAGGACTAAACCATCTCCTGTTCCTCACGTGTATCCATCCCAGAGTGATGAGGTCATACTGGTCCTGTACGAGGAAAAGTTCCTCCTCGTTTTCCGTGTCACAGTAGTCCGGCCCGCCACACTGCTTCGGGACAATCACGTGGGTCACAGTGAATGCGTTTCTGGTCTGAAACAAACACAAAGCGAGTCAGGTGGTTTCAGTCCGCGGCAGAACCAAACCACCTCTGGCTGGTTCTGCTGGTAACGAAAGTTGGGATGGTGTCAGATTATCCTCCAATAAGGACGCTAAGCTGATGACTCGGCATTTATTATAAAACCTAAAATCAGCATTTAATAATCCAGATGTACCGAATTCAGTGAGTTTGCTCCGATAAAAGCTCTGATGATTCAGCTCTGCTCCAGACTTACCAGCTTCCCACACAGGATGCCACAGGTTTCTATGGCTCTGCTGGTGTTGGCCTCAGCCAGCCTCAGGAAGCTCCGGCAAAGCTCGGCAGGAACAGCCAGCTGCCGAAGGGCATCCACCATCGAATCTGCAAAACCCATGTAGAGGGATTAACGAGTGCTGGATGGAAATGTGGGGTTTTGAAACAAGGCGAGGTGTAACCAGGAAGTAGTGAAACACGGGAGCAGGGCGGCGTTTAACCGGCCCGTCGTGTGAAGATCAACACAAACTCACTGTTTCCTGGGCTGACCAGCGAACCCGGCTTGAGCGAGCGGTCGAAGCTGGGCGGACCGGCCGTGGGTGAGCCGATGGGTGAGCCGATGGGTGCAGACGGCCGAGTATGCTGATAGTCGTTGCCGCCGGATATGTACCCCGGGCTCAGCGGTGGACCCTGGATGCCTGGAAGGAGGGGCGTGTCCGCAGGGGGCGTGGCTGGTGTGGCAAACTCTAGGAGCACTCGCTGGCGCTCCTTCTCCAATTCCTGGCGGCGGATCATCTCCTCAAAGGCACTGAACTGCTCCTGCTCCCGCTGCCGCCGCTGCATCTCCGCCACGCGCTCCCGTTCGGCGTCCAGCGCACGCCGCTTGGACTGTTCCTGCGCCATGGCTGCCTCCTCCGCTTTCTGAAGAGAGAAAACTTCAACGTGAGAATCGGAGACATGATGTAGGTATGAAAAACGGCTCCTCAGTTTACCTTTTTGACAAGATATTCTGCATATTCTTGTTCAAATCTCCTCAAAAGAGCTTTTTTAAGAACCTCTGCTTGTGGAAATGCAACTTCTTTGAGTTTCTGCAGAGGAATCAGAAAGAGGTGACATGCTAAGCTGCAACTGTCCTCTGAACCAATCGGGTTCACAGAACACAGTGTGGGCACCTTTACTGTGTCCTTCTTCTCAGGAATATTTGCAGTCTTGTAGTCCCGATGCTTGGGAAGTTTCTCAATAAAGAGCCTTTAATAAAAAATCAAATCTGATGAATTTTCCGGCACAAAGACGAGAAGACTCAGCTGAAAACGACAGAGCAGCTTTGGGAATTTACTCACGTGATATATTTGTTGTAAAGAACGAAGGCGCGCTCGATGTTGCCCTCCTCCGTGTAGATGCTGGCCATGCGGATCATCTCCATGCCTGAGCGGAAGTAGCGGCGCGGCGGGACGTCATCGTTGACCTCCACCAAGCTCCCCTTCTTGGTCAGGGCGTGGAATCGCTCCTCCGGTGGCAGGCTGACGTCGGTGTGATCGCCCATGGCAACGGCTCAGCCGGACAGACTGGACAAACAGGCTAAAGGTTAAATATTCAGAAACACTGGTTTGCACACGCCGTCATGTTAAAAAAATAATATACAACAATCCCAAATCTTTGTTCCTTAAAAATACAAAAGTGTTGTTTTTTTGAAGAGTTGAATCTTGGCGTGACCTTTGACCCAGCTCTCACCCTGGATCCTCATGTCAGTTCTCTTGTTCGCTCTTCCTTCTTCCATCTCAGGAACGTTGCTAAGCTGAGTCCCATTCTGTCTCGCTCTGAACTTGAGAGACAGACCATGCAGCCCTTCATCTCCACACCTTTGTTCGTTTCATTTATTTATTTGGCAGACGCTTTTATCCAAAGCGACTTACAATTTATAACCTATAGGGCATGTTGTGATCTGTGGGGGAAACCAGAGTACCCGGAGGAAACCCACGCTTGCGTGGGGAGAACACACAACTCCACGCAGAAAGGCCGCAGCCGAGCCGAGTTTCGAACCTGCAACCTTCGTGCTGCGAGGCAACAGTGCTAACCACTGCGCCACCATGCAGCCCTTCATCTCCTCACGCTTAGACTACTGCAACTCTCTTTTCACGTGTCTGAGCAGAACCTCCCTGAACCGTCTACAGGTGGCTCAGAATGCCTTCAAATACTACCTGAACTGCTGGGTCTCTAAAAATATAGAAAATGTGATCATTTAGGGACTGCATGAGAAAAGACATCTTGTTTATTTGTCTGACCGTAAATAAACACCAAGAACTGAAACCCCCTCCTGATACTGAGACAGATCGTCGTTTCGGAGCACTTATGACTCATAACTGTTTGCTCAGCCTCTCTCTCTCTCTCTCTCTCTCTCTCTCTCTCTCGCTCTCGCTCTCTCTCGCTCTCTCTCTCAAATGTTATCATATTCGAGAAGAGAAATTTTGAAAGTGTGCAACGCACCAGTATTTTCACACACACACCGAGTCCCTCAACTCGGTGGGAAAAACATTTAGCAATAAAAACAATATTTCTGCTTGCAGAGTCAGTTTCATGTGACTTGAGGAGAACTGAAGACAAATGTGAGAACTTCACCAGCAGAATGACTTGTATTGATTTAGTCATGAAGGCTGACGGATGGCCTACACACTCAAGCCACGGAGAAAGGTGTGGCTCTGGTGAAACAAGGAGGCCCGCTCATGAAGTATTTTAGTAAGTTGTGGTCACCCCCGTCTGATGACCATGTTTATGTTGACCAGACTCTGGTCAACATAAACATGCAAAACAAAGCGTGTGTGTGTGTGTGTGTGTGTGACACTTGGTTTATTACTCAGCATAACAGTTTTGACATGTAGTTTATTAATGACGTAGTTTATGTTGGTTAAAGTGTTACCATACTAACAGAAATTAGTGCTAGTCAAGATGGCGCCTGTGCTTGGCTTAGCCGCGGTCACCGGCCACTTTTTCAAACTTTTCCACCTTGCTCCTGTCTGCGATCCTCTTCAGTAGTGTCCCTGCTACCATCTCCTATGATCGCCAGACTCTTTTTTCCTTCCGTTCAATCACGATCGCCCAAGGTGCACCGAGGACGAACCTTCCTGTTTGTTTATCTGAGTGGCGCACTGGCCCGGAGCCAAACGACGATTCCAACCAGGGCGCCTCCAGCGATGTTTATCCGGTCCCGGGAAAACGGAGGAAAAGAGGTAAACGAGCAGGAATCCAGGAGAGAATAAGACTTCTCTTAAAGCGTGGTTTATCTAGTAAACATCGGCGTGATCTTCTAGCTTCTTTTCCTTTGCTTGGCGACTTGAGCGCCACTTCCGCATTCCCGCGCGGTTTCTCCGTCCGAGTTTTTTAAGGTCGGTTTATCCTCCTGTTCCCTCCATAAGTGGTTTTTATAAACACCGTGGATCTAACCCTGCTAATTTATGTCCACTAACTCCAGCTGTTTCTGTAGTTTCTGATTCCTCCACCTCACTCAGCATGGCTCTATAAAACACCCGCTCTGTTAACAATAAGTCCTTCCAGCTCAATGATTTAATTCTCTCTAAAAACCTGGATTATCTGTTTCTGACTGAAGCCCATCATCCTAGATAGCTTTGCTCCTGTTTCTTTGCCTGAGTTAACCAAACTAGTTAACTCTATGAAGACCTCTGCATGCCCCCTCCACATCTTACCCTCATCTTTGTTTAAAAGTGCTTTTCAGTCCATCGGTCCCAGCGTGCTCTCTATAATTAATGCTTCTCTGGTCTCTGGTCAGGTCCCTGCTTACTTTAAGAATGCTGTAATCCACCCGCTTCTTAAAAAACCAAGTCTTGACCCCTCTCTCCATAGCAGCTTCAGACCCATCTCTAAACTTCGGTTCATCTCCAAGATCTTGGAAAAGGTTGTGGCTAAACAGCTCAAAGCTGCTCTTGACGAACATAACATCTATGATAGCTTCCAGTCAGGTTTTCGTAGAGCTCATTCTACTGAAACCGCTCTTCTTAGGGTCTCTAATGACCTTCTGACTCACAGTGATGCAGGGGGCTGTTCTGTTCTGGTCCTGCTGGACCTGACTGCAGCCTTTGACACTGTTGACCATCACCTGCTACTGGAGAGGCTCAGAGGCTGGGTAGGCCTATCAGGACCTGCTCTGGAGTGGTTCTTCTCTTATCTCTCTAAGTGCTCCTTTTCTGTGGCCGTCTCCAAGTTTAGGTCCTCCACCTCCTCTCTTACCCATGGTGTCCCACAAGGTTCTGTGCTGGGGCCTCTGCTCTTCCTCCTCTATCTGCTTCCTCTTCAGCACATCCTGAGCTCCTTCAAAGGAATCTCCTACCATCTTTATGCAGATGACATCCAACTGTACATCTCCTTTAAGCCCCATGAGATGTCTAAGCTGCAGCTGTTACACACCTGCTTCCACGGCCAGGACGAAAACCACATCTATATGAGGTTCAACTATCGACCAGAACTTCCTCTCCAGTACCTTGGAGTAGACTTTCCCTCCTGTCTCGGAGATGGACAGTTCATTAACGACTATTGACTAAACTCATTCCACTGAATCAGCTGATGACAACAATAAACGACAACATGTATTAATAAATCACGGTAAGACTTTGACATGATTGTGTTTTGTAGCCTTCCCATTTCAGAGAAACATGGACATAAGTCTGGAAGATTTGAAACACCAAACCCAATACATTTCTAGTTCTACCAGCAGCATTATAGGTAATAAACTAGCTAATATTAATATACCAGAGGTTTACAGGATTAGGTCAGAGTAACGTCCACTAACCCGAGGGTGTAATTAAACTTTCTCCTTCTACCTAAAATAAATAAACTCATTTCAGTAAGTATTTAAAACCATTAACAGACAATATAACCATTATCTGACCTATAGCAATCAGCATGTACTGTATAAACCATTTAATGAGATATACGAGTAGAGCAGAAAAGGTTCGTATCAATAAAACAAAGAAATTAAACTTTTAGGGAATTAAAACATGTCCAGAGGACATAAAACAGACCAGTCCGAAACAATGGGCCATTTATTCACCCCGTTGCTTTTTTCCTTCACTTTTTTTACGTTCCTGCTGGTTCACGGGCGAGTTACATATGCCAAGAATAGAAGTGTATTCTCCTCACACGCTCTCTTGTTATTGATCTCTGTTCTAGAAGTGATCGGTGTTTCTGCTCGACATGCTAGCCGCGCTAACTTACCAAACATTAACTTAGCTAGCGGCCAACCACCGTGAGGACTTTTCTGTCATTCTTACCTGGTTGAGGCGTGAAACTGAAGATCAAAAGGACCTACATACATGAAGCAATAAACACGACTAATGTACTGAGTCGTACACAAAATCACTAAAGCTTCTAGCACAACAGCATTCAAGAGCATCTGCTCACTTCCGCAATCCAAACAACTTCCGTCTGACAAGAGATTACGTCAGTGGATGATGATGATTTTACCTCGGATTCATTTTACCAGAAGCATTTAACATCTTGTTTTATTCATGTCAGCCAGGTAAAACTAATTTAGTCTAAAAAAACAAGTAAACATCCCACATCACAGATGCGTTCATTCCATCCTAAGAACTTTTAAGTAAAGAGTTACAGAAGCATACTTACACGGGCTCGTTGGTCTAGGGGTATGATTCTCGCTTTGGGTGCGAGAGGTCCCGGGTTCAAATCCCGGACGAGCCCTTCTTTTTTGTTTTTGCATGTGCATGAAAAACGCTTACTAATTCAGGGATATAGTTTATGTTCTCATTCCGAATAAGTCAGAAACGTAGTTTTCATTTTTAAAACTATCTTAACCTCAGTTAGGAAGAATTTGCTGGTGAAAGTTCTCAGTCATCCAGGTCATGGTATTTCAAAGGGTTCTTTGAAGGCAACTGGACTTCTTTGGTTTCTTGAAGCCGTTTCACCTCTCATCCGAGGAGCTTTGAATCTTCTCCAAACACAACATCCCGGTAAACTTTAAACCCAACAACACCCTCAGACAGAAACAGGTCCATCCAGGGGCGGATCTACAAGGGTGGCAGTTGCCACCCTAAAAGAAAGCCTTGCTACCCCTGCTGCCACCCCAGCTGGCAGCTATAAATTCAAGGAAAATCAAAGTTTTTTTTAACTCTCAGGCTCATAAAGACCTACTTGCAGTCTGCTTTGGCAGAGAAAAGACTAGCTAGCCTGTACTCAGCATTGAATCAAAATGGGCAGAATCTTTGGATCTTGATGAATGTGTAAATAGTTTTGCTGAGCAACATGGAAACTGCCGCATTCAGCTGTTGTAGGAAGGATATAATTTCATTATGTGTTTTATTTTCGTGATGGGCCTTTAAGCTTATTAAATGAGGACCCAAAACAAATGAACATGTAAATACTGGGAAAAGAAAAAGGAAAACGTGTTTTTGAGTGAACAATAGAACCAAAGTACAATATCTCAGTGCAGTGAAATATTGTGTGTGTGTGTGTGTGTGTGTGTGTGTGTGTGTGTGTGTGTGTGTGTGTGTGTGTGTGTGTGTGTATTGCCACCCTAGAAAAATGTTTGCCCCTCTTCTGCCACCCCATCAATAATTTTGTAGATCCGCCCCTGGTTCCATCCAAAAGACAAAACACCCAAACAGAAGCTCAGTGGCGTCGTTTATGCAGTCCAGTGTAGTGAGGATGTCCAGATGTTTACAATGGAGAAACTAAACAACAATTACACAAGAGCATGGCACAACACAGGAGAGCCACCTCTTCAGGTCAACACGCTGCAGTCCACCTACACCTGAAGGACAAAGGACACATTCTGAACAGAGAAGATAGATGGTTTGAGAGAGGAGTAAAGGAAGCTATATGTCAAATTTGAAAAACCCACCTTAAATAGGGGAGGGGCTTAGATTGAACCTTTCCAGCATCTATAATGCAGCTTTGAATCTCATTCCTAAGCAGTTTCAGTCTAGGTCACACTTTTCTGTGTCTAATCAACACAAGGACTCCCTCTCAGTAGAGGCTAACCACTCATCAGGGGATGGGAAGGAGGGGTACTCAGAGTAGTTTCTGCTCCTTAAATAACAACAGACAGCTGCAGCTTATAAGCGTGACCCTCCCATACTCCAGTTAGGATTGACAAAGCTCCTCGGATGAGAAGTGAAACATCTTCAGGAAACCAAAGAAGTCCAGTTGCCTTCATTTGAACCCTTTGGATTAGGAAGAAGTAGGAAGAACTTATAGTCATATATTCTGAAACAGACCTCAAGATTATGTACCATAAATTTTAACTATACTTACTGTAATTGAACAGGAGTGTAAATACAACCCACTCATTTTCCAATATGTCCTGGTTCTGGTGATGGGACTTGTGTGTATCCTAACAAAACAGAGTACAAAGGAAAACTAAATAAATAGACGTGAATGTGGAGTGAGGCCATGAATTCCTCAGCTAGGATTTAAAGCTGGAACCTTCTGTTTATGTGGCTTTTATGTGACTTGGTTTTATGCTTTGATGCTGCGTTGACACTTTGTAGCTTTTATGGCCGTATGTTGCTTTTATCTCTTTTTTATTGCTGTTTGTGTTTTTAGTGTGTTTTACGTTCAGCTCCTTGGGCTCCTGCAAAGGCAGTGGAAGGCGCTATATAAACAAAGATTGATTGATTGATTGTTTATGATTTAGCCATCAGAAACAGAACAGAAAATAAACAAACAAAAACAATAACGATTACTTATACTGCTAAATGCCGCTCTTGGCTAAAGTCCAACAGGATCACAGACATGATTCTTTGTGTATTTTCTTTTTCTTTTTTTTTCTATTGATGGATAGCGTCTCGATGGGAAATAAACATATTCTAATCTATTTTGCTGTGAGCTCAAGCTGCTGACAACTACATTAATTTAGATCCTTGGAATAATGGAATTAGGAGTTGAACTAAAGGTGAAAACATACCAAATCTTAGCTGATAAACAATAACATATGCTCATATTTATCATTTCTATCTTTTTCAGCATGACGACGGGAATGTTGTCAAACCCTGAAGACGACTGTGTTGGTGCAGTACCGTGATTAACCGCACGGGGGAGACAGAACCGCATCTATTGACAGCCCAAGCAGACCATCGACGTCATTGCTGCTGCTCGTGTTTGAAACAGCGCACGAATGAGAGGAAAATGACCGTCTGTGGATGAATGAAGCTAACGGAGACATCCGGTTGTCCCCAACAGACGTTCTGTACTCCGACTATGAGCCTCCGGTGTGTTTCGGTGTCAGAGGCACGTTGCTGTCTGGGGGATTGACGTCTTCCTTAACACCATCACCGGTAAGCTAACTAGGCTAACACGAACAAATCGACCAGTTTATCAAACTTCTATTAATTTCTAAAGAATTCGCTGCTTTTATTTATGACACGTCACAGAGGAACGTTTCTGTAGACGCGAGGCTGCTGTAGCTCTGCATTAACTTAGCCTTCATTCGTTCACTAATCATCATTCTTCTCTGATCAATCAGTTTGTTATTCAAAGAAATGTGTTACTTTATAAACGTAGCAAACCTTCTACCGTACATCCTGGAATCATCCTGCTTCTCTGTCAGACCAGAGCCAGCGAGCTTCTATCAAGCGTCATATTTTCAGTAAATAATAAAACATGTTTAGATTTATTAAGCATTTAGATCCAATAATTGTTCGTGTGCATGTACTGAGAGTTATCCTTAAACTTCAGGGAAAACCTGGAAGTAAATAAGCTACTTTTCCATATTTTCAGACCTTAAATGTTTGTTTCACAGTTTCCTGTTAGATTGATGGTTCTCGTTGGCCTGGCAAGCCATCCTATATATGTGAATATGTAGGATGACTTTGCAAAGTAAGAATTTGGTCTAGTTCACCATGCATCTGCCGTAGAGCGCCATAAACAGCCTCAGTTTGGAGAAACAGAGATTAGTCCTGATCGGACAAACGAGCTAGACGAATCGCCTCCTTGTATGAAATGTGCTATATAAATAAAGCTGCTTTGCCTAGACGGTTTTTAAATGTTGGTGGCTTAAAACAACTTCCGTCTCCAAAAATGTCACCGCATATCCTGCAGATACTATTTTATTATGATCCATTTCACAGTTTATGGGTATTATTTAGTTTGAAATTCCAGCCAGAAGAAAACTGGAATTTCAACAGAATCCTGTGTAAGTAACCACATAATGTGTATTCTAGGTTGGTGTACACATTTATAAAATGTTCCTCTTGCACATGATTAAAATGAGGTGGGCTTCAGCCCAAGTAGCCGGGCTAACGCCGCCCCTGCACACACACACACACACACACACACACACACACACACACACACACACACACACACACACACACACACACACACACACACACACACACACACACACACACACACACACACACAGGCTCACAATGACATTGTGACATCATATGGTACCAGCTAACTTTCTAGTTTTTACCTGACAACGGCACAACACTGACAGTTTTAGGCAGAAATTTTAAATTTTAACTATAATTAGGGATGCACCGATACGATACTGGTATCGGTATCGGCGCGACACCGATATCAATACCAGTGTCGGAATCGGTAAAAGTCAACCGATACCAATGCAGTTGCTTGAAAATGGCTTCACTGGAACTTGTCATTTCTGTTCACCTAATATTTTAGTTTTGTGATGATTTCCATTTATATATTTGACTTTTTATCTACCTCACAGTCTTTTCCTGTTGAAAGCAGAGAAGAAAATAAAATCTGTATTCCAAATCATTGCATTTTTTTCTGTGGTAGAAGTATCGGTATTGTAATCGGTTTCGGCGAGTACTCGGATCAAAGTATCGGTATCGTATCGGTTTGAAAAAAAAACCTGGTATCGTTGCATCCCTAACTAAAATGCACTCAAATGAAAAACTATTGACTACACGTGTCTGCAGCACGATTCGACACTCATTTTTATAGTTTATCAGAAACAAATTTGATTTGGGGTGACTTGCTCTTCAAAAGGAGATGAATAATTAGGCGGTTCTTCAGATTTGCCGGTTTTTGTAACATGTTTCTCTGCATTTTCTCTGTGGCTTGTCTTTATCTGAGTTGCTGACCTGTAAGCTGCCCTCTGGGTAAAAGATATAGGTTGAGTCAGTTCAAGTCTCATCCAAAGCCCTTTAATTTTAAGGTGGACGGTTATTTGCTGTGTAGTCAGGACGAGTGGAGCTTGTAGACAATGTGCTCGGTGAGCCAGCCGGGTGCCCACATCCATCACTCTCATCTAATGACAGTCTTTGTTGGGGGTAATCGGTGGAGGATCCATGGAAACAATAATTAGGGTCGATGAGGTGTCTTCTCTGGTGGCGTATAAAGCAGGAGACGAGCGTTGGACATGAGACTGTTGAGAAGTCCTGGAACTCAAGAAGACGTTTTCTTTTCCTCTTAAAAGGTACGGCAAGATTTTCGTCAGGAATTAATTGGGAGTCGTTCTTTCACATAAACTTTAGGAATGTGCAGAGAAGATGATGTGGATTTGGTTTTGTGCAGTTCTGACCAGATAATTACTCTTTAAAATGTTTAGTTGAAACATCCGTTTGTGAAAATATTTATGGTCATATGCCGGTTTTCACAGTAAAGCAGTGCACACTCTAGGTCTGTTCAACAGATTTAAAGTCCCTTTCTAAGTCTTGGTGATGTTGCGGAGTTAACCCTAACTCTGACCGTGATATTGTGTGACTTGCTTAAAGAGTTATCTTCAGACGAGGAGCAGATATTCGCACAGAGCCAAGAACGCAAAACCTAGACTTGTGTGGTTTGGTTTTAAGGTCCAGTAACTATTTTAGCCATAATTTCATCAGAAACACAGAAGAAGGGGCTGTGTTCCAGCTAGTCGGGAGGCGCGCAACCACAGGGAGGCTTCTCTGGTTTCTGCAGGATAAAACTAAATAAGAGCGGCTGGCTTCTATTGGTTATCTGTTTCACAGAGAATGACTAAGTTGTTTTAGTCTAAGACAATATTTTTGAATTCCGTCTGTCATCGATGCAGAGAAAGTTAAAATAAAGGTCTGAAATAACTAGCAGAGCTCAAATGTTTGGGCAGATCAGTTATTGTTCGTGGGCGGGAAAAATGTTGACTTCGTCCGTCGCTCATTCACAAAGAAGAAGACACCTAGATTCACTGATCAAACCGATCATGCGGAATATCGGCCGATTCCGATCAGACAGATTTCTTTGGCTAATTCTAGTTTCAGAACACAAAGCAGAAGGTGCTTGAAAACTTCAGATTCAGTTCCTAAAGAGTCATGAATCTCAGAAGTCATTAGTCTGATGTGCAGATGTTTGAACAGGCCGTCTAGTGCGACTAGATCGTTCAGTGAGGTTGGTTTGGGGGTGACAACTGGTGGTGGTCTTTTCTGTGCAGGTCTTGCACAGACCGGTGTCGGTACAGGATCTGCTTGGGTGCAAGATCGGCCGATGACGTCAAAGTACGGCAAACCCACTCGGCCAAAATACACTACACATCTTCATACTGTTGGAAAGAATTTAGCAGTTTCGTTATTAAAATAATGTTTCTTAAGACGTAGGTTTGTGTTTATAATGGTATTTGTAAAATCAAACACTATATTGTATTCATGATGTTGAACTCCTCACATGCCTTGAAGGATCATAGGTATTAGCAACACCTGTGAAATTGTATTTGCAGGAAAGAAGTGTGTCCCGTTTATTGAAGAATTTTGTGCTTAGAGGTTTTGACGTCTTGTCCATGCGTAGTTCAGTTACGCTCATAGCTGCCAAAACTTTCTGGCTTTACTAAAATACCTGTCTGTACTTATTTGATTGATGGTAGTTTTACTTTCTATTAGACTCCAAATGTAATCATTTGGCACATTTCTAATTCATAATTTGTAAGAATGCAGTCGGTGATATTAGCTTTAGCATTCCTATGGGTTTTTCCATGTATAGTAGCATTGCGCTAACCACTTGCTGCCAAATTGCAGCCTTTGCGATTACAAAATCTCCTTTTGTCACATCGCAATTTAATTGCACATGCAGTTAATCGTTCAGCCCTAATATACATGCAGCTCTATGCTGAAAGTGTATTTTCAAAGAGGTAATGATGGATTTCTTTGTAAAAGTTGTCCATCTTTCCAACAGAAAAATTTGCCTGGACCAACGTAACGTGATTACATAATTTCCGTAAAGTTCATGTTCAGCCAATCAATTACTTTGACATGATCGGCAGTCGAAGGACCCCGAGCCGATCTTGCACCCGAGCAGATCTTGTACCGACACCGGCCATTTCATGGCCCGTGAACCGTGTCCCCGGATCAGACACCAGCTCCTGTGGGACTCTAGCCTGGCAAGCTCTATTGACGGCTCTCGGTTGTGGGGCGGGTTCTACCGTTGTCTTTCAAATGATCTCCGCATTCCACTGGACAATGAATGCGACATACTCTTGTTTCACTCTGTTGCATCATCCCACCCACCAGGCATATAGAGTGCCCTGATTGGCCCACAAAGTGGATAAAGCTCTGTGATTTGTTCACTAAGCAGATAGAGCACTATGATTGGCCCACCATTATGGACCAATCACAGCTCTTTATGTGTTTGAAACCCCTCTAGAGAGTTGTGATTGGCCAGCCAGAGTCCTGTTAGGAGCTGCGGAGGTTCCAATGGAGCATGCCTAGACCAAACTTTGCAAAGCAAGTATTTGGTCTAGTTCACTAGGCTAGTGGGACTCCAAATCGAGTGAAAACCTCATCTTATGAAAACTAACAAACAACGTGAAACCGGAAGTGCGTATCCCAAACCGGAAGTAGATTTTAACGCAATATTTGAACTAAACCTTAAACAAATCATGAACTATTCATGTAAATAACTCGTAATCCCTTTCAAACAACACATTATAAGTTTTAAAACCATTTTTATCTATCTAAATGTATTTATTTAGGAAGAGCCAGCCATGATACGATGAGCTTTGGCGTCTTTGAAGGGAAACATTTCCACTCATTTTGTACTAGCACCAGAACAGTGTTTGCTCTTTTGCTGTGAGGAAAAGGCCCCGTGAGGTCCATCCCCAGCTTTTCCCAGCGTTCCTGTGCAGGAGTTGGCTGCATGAAACCAGCCGGTTTCTGAGCCACGCCAGACCAGCTTAGGTTCAGTCATGATTGCAGCAGAAAAGGAAAGGAAGGAGAAAAGTTTGCTTCCTCTAAAGACGCGTCCAGATGTTGTTAAATGTAGAGTGATGGAGTTTGTTTGTGTTTTGCGTCCCTCGGCCGTGCCTGATTCGAAACGAGTGACCGCATCAACGCGGACAGGCGGCAGAACGTATCGG